AATGTGCTCACCATTACAGTGGCACACAGAATAGTCTCACTACTTGGAACATCCCTGTGCTTTACCCATTCAGCCTTCTTCCCTAACCTAAGTCCTTGGCAACCACTGATGTGTTTATCACGTATTTTTGCCTTTTCCTGGATATTATATAATTGGAATTATATCAGACTACTTCTTTGACTTTATAATATCTACTTAATATTCATCTTTGTATGGTTTGACAGCTCATTTTTAAAATTACCAAATAATACTCCATTGTATGACTATATCACCACTTACCTTACTTGGTTCACTTATCGATCATTATGAAATAAAATTATTATAAACATAGTTTTGTGTGGATGGGTATGTTAAGCTTTGAATTATTTTACTACTTGGGTGTGTGTCTGATGTGTGCGTGCCACAGCATGTGTGTGAAGGTCAGAGAACAATTTTGAAGAGTCGGTTCTCTCCTCTACCTTGTTAAGGCAGGGTCTCTCTTGTTTCTGCTGTGCTGTGTACTTCAGACTAGCTGCCTGGTGACCTTCTAGGTAGTCCACTGGTCTCTGCTGCCCATCAGGAGTGCTAGGATTACAGATGTACACCACATGTCCTGCTTTTTTTTACATGAGTTCCAGGGATGGAACTCAGCAAGCCCTTTTACCCTTTGAGCCATCTTGCCCACCCCATACATTTAGTTTTGTAAGAAACTTCCATTGTCAGGGCATGAGAGATGGCTCAGCAGTTATGAGCATTTGCTGCTCTAGCAGAGGACCTAGGTTCAATTCCCAGCACCCACGTGGCACTTCATAACCACCACCCTCTTCTCACCTCTGGGGGCATTGCACACATGTAGTGCATATGCATACATACAGGCAAAACACTCACACACACTAAAAAAAACTTAAAAAAAACAAAGTTCCATTATCAGCTTGATAGGCAGAGGAAGGAAAGAAGGAAGGAAGGAAGGAAGGAAGGAGAAAGAAAGAAAGAAAGAAAGAAAGAAAGAAAGAAAGAAAGAAAGAAAGAAAGAGAGGAAGGGAATTTTCAGTCCATCTTCTGAGGTGACTATGCCATTGAGCGTGCCAACTGCTCTGCATCTTCATCTGCATCTGTGCCCTCCCTCTTCTAGATTTCAGCCATTCTAAGGCATGGCAGTGGTGTCTGCTGCTCTAACTTGCATTCATTAATGATAAATGACACGGGCCTCTCTCTCCATGCTTGTCATTTGTGTCTCTTTGGTGAGACTTCTGTTCAGATCCTTTGTCCATTTTTAATTTTTTTTTATTGTTGAGGTGTTTCATATTTCTAGTTTTTAGGGTTGACAGGGATTGTTTCCTTTTTTGAAGACAGGGTCTCCCTGTAGCCCAAGCTGGTCTGGTATTTGCACTGACTATGTAGACCAGGCTGGCCCTGATCTCACAGAGATCTACCTGCCTCTACCTCCCCAGTGCTGGGATTAAAGACTTACTACCATGCCTGGCTTCACATTATTGAGTTTTAAGAGTCTTTTTAAATATATTTTTCACATAAATCCTTTATTAGCTATTTTGTAAATATTTTCTCCAAGCCTGTAGCTTTTATTTTTATCCTCATAACTGCTGAATATTCATAATTTTAAAAATTAGTAAACTTTAAGGGACTAGGGAGATGACTCAGCCTAAGTTTGATCTCCAGAACCTACATAAAGAAGCCAGGTGTGGTGATGTGTGCTTGTAACCACAACACTGGAAAGGCAGAGAAAGGAGGCTCCCCTGGGGCTCACTGGCCAGACAGCCTAGGCCATTGGCAAGCTCCAGACCAGTGACAAACCCTGTCTCAAAAACCCAAAACCCAAGGTGGATAACTTCTCAAGAGTAAAACCCAAAATTGCCCTCTGGCCTCCACATATATGCACATACATGTGCACACCTCCCAAACACAATGCATGCACACACACACAACACATCCACACATATATTCACATGAACACATACAATGTATCCATGCATGCACTCCCATGTGCACACAAACACACACACACACACACACACACACACACACACACACACAAAACAAAAAAGTCTATCACTATCCATTTATGGCTGCTGCTTTGTGAGTTACAAAAAGTGTCCTCCTCTGGAAAGATCAAGAAGCAGGCCAAGTTCCAGCCTCTGCCCTTGGCTTTTACCTCTGTGCCAGACACAAACTGTACAATCCCACTATACACTCCCCATTGTTCTTGTGTGCATTTACACACTTCTAGAAGCTCCCATGATGGTGCTCTTGCCTATCCTCAGACCAAGGCAGCTTGCAGGGCGTCTACTTCCAGCCCAAGGTTTCCTGTCCTAGTGCAGCAGGCTGACTTTTAAGGCAGCCCCAGAAGTCCTTTTCTCCTGCTATTCATGGCCTTGTGTGGTTTCCTCCCCTTAAGAGTGGGCTAGATCTTGAGACCTGGTTAATTAAGAGAACAGATAAAAAATGACAGAGTATCCGTTTCAACATTAGGTGTGGGTGTCTGTTAACTTGTGCCTTGCGTGCACACTTGCCTTCTGCTTTTATTTGTTCCTTCTTATCGAGATAACTGACATGTGATCTTCTGTGGTGAGATCGGGGAACAAGGAATCAAGGAGGACCATGGCCACCAGCTTGTGAGAAGCCAGGGGCTCAGTCCAATAGTCTGTGAGGACATGAATCCTACCAACAATCATTTGACTCAGGCTAAAGCAGATCAAACCAATCGAGTCTTGTGGCGACTTCAGCCCTGCCTGACACTTAGATTGAAACCTGCTAAAAGACAGACCCAGAGGCTGAGGATTCAGCTAAGAGCACCCAGACTGCTGGCCCATAGAAGCCATAAGATCTAATAAATGCTGCTGCATTAAGCCACTTTATTTTAGGGGTAATCTGTTATGCAGCAATAGATAACTAAGGAAGCCCGGAGTATTCCTTTCCTCACATTCCACCCTTGCAAGTCCTGAGTTTTCAGGTCTCAGAGTTAAATGTCAGCTCTTTGGGGATGGCTTTCCTTTCCCTCACAGACCTCCCTGGCTCTTCCTGCAGGTCTCTGGTTATAAAGCGTCGGTGCATCTGCAGCACTAACCAGCATTGCAATTGCTTCATGGTTTGCCTCATGTCTGTCTCCCCCAAGAATGTCAGTCCTACAACAGAGGCAGGAGTTTGAGAGACCCTGTCTCAAAAAAATGAAACAAAAAAACAAAACAAACAAACAACAAAAACAAAACAAGGTGAGGGACTGGGGAAATGGCTCAGAGGTTAAGAATACCAGCTGTTCTTTCAGAAAACTTGGGTTCAATTCCCAGCACCCACATGGCAGCTCACAACTATCTGTAACTCCAGTTCCAGGGGATCCAATGGCCTCTTCTGGCCTCAGGCACATATGGGATGCATATAAATGCACGTAGGCAAAACACTTGTACAATGAAAAATAAAAATAAGAGCCAGGCATGGTGGTACATGCCTTTAGTCCCAGCACTCAGGAGGCAGAGGCAGGCAGATCTCTGTGACATGAGGTCAACCTAGTCTATATAGCGAGTTGCAGGTCAGTTGGGGCTACAGGGAGATGCTGTCTCAAAAAACAAACAAAAAAACAAAAAAACACCTAACTAAATAAATGCATATTTAAAACAAACCTAACCAGAAAGTGCTGCTCAGATGTAAGACTTCAAATCTTGCTCTCTAATACTGTAGTGCCCTCCTGTAGCTAAGGGAAACAACCAGCTATTGTTCTAAAATGATGGCTAAATTTGTTTCCTCCTCCTATCTAGAAGCCTTTGAGAAGGAACTGACACTGATTCTAAACACTCCAACAGCTATCAAAATACCTGAAAGCAAATCCTGAATCCATCACTCTAGAGTCCACCCTTGGAACACAAAAGAAAAATGAAGAAGAACCCAATATAGGGATGCTTTTGGAAGCCCTTGTCAAGAAATTCCAATGGACTCTCATATGAACATTTGAAAATTGCCCTGTTCTGACTTTTTTCTAGTTCCCTCTCTAGAACTTGTAATGCTAATTACTCTTGCCTTTACTTCTCCTTCACAGCTCCTATTCATGATTCAATGACTTTCTTTTCTCCTTAGAGATAAGAGTTATGCAATTTTGGGAGTCTTAGATAGACCCACTGAAGGGGTACTCCAATTGCCTCACCCTGCGTCCCTGTTCAGCATGGAAGAAGCCAGAGCAGTCTGCGTCCTGATTCCCTATTGGCAATTTGGGTAACCTCTTCAGAGGATGGAGGTAGGAATTGGCTAGGCAGTTAGGGTAAAAAGACCCCAAAGAAAAGTAGCCAGTTTCTTGGCTAAAAGTCACAATGTCCTTGGGCCTCTTAGCAACATACTCTGTTTCAAAGGCCAAAAATGTCAAAAGTATTTGGGAGCTTGTATCTAATCCTTAAAAGATTTTAGAGTTACCTCTTGGGGTGGGGGGAATGTTAGAGTAGCCAAAACCCCCATAAAAATCAATACAATAAATAAAGAAGAAGAAAGAGTACATGAAGTTATCAGAAAAAAGTGGTGGGGAGCTATGGGAGGAGTTGGAGGGGAAAGAGTGGGTATGGATTTGATCAAAACACCTTATATGCATGTATGAAATTCTCAATAAATTATTTATTTCAAAAACTACCAACAACAAAAAACTAACTAACTAACTAAATACATATTTAAAACAAACAAGTTGAGGACTAGAAAGATGGCTCCGTGGGTTAAAGAGTGTGCTGTACAAGCCTAATTACCTGATCCAATTTCCTGTCCCTACATGCACACACACACACACACACACACACACACACACACACACAGAGTAATTTTATTTAAAAATTAAAGGATAAAAAATTTAAATATATAAAAGTATTATAAGATTAAGTGAACAGCCCCTAAGGAACAATAGCCACAGCTGTCCTCTGTCTTCAAAGCATACACACACAAGTTCCATGCACACATGCACACACAGCCACACCTGCAAACACATGAATACACACACAAACTAGTACAAGTAGAAAAATTTCAGAGTTTTCTGAAATTCTTTAATAATCTATTACTGAAATTTTTAACAAAACTTGAACAAAAAATAACTTGAACCATTTAAACAGCTATTTTATAACAAGAAGAAACATTAATTCTATATAAAGTATTAAGTCAAAGTAGTTTACTTCAAACACAGGGACCTAGTTTACAGAACTGGAACAAACTATATTATTTAGCCACACTAGTTTTGGGAAAACAGTGTTCTCACGACCAAGTCCAGCGTGTCCTGAATCCTCATGTTATTTCTCTCCATTATGGAAGAATTTCTCCCTCTCAGTTTCCCATTTTCTTCTAGTTCAAGGGGGAGAAGAGTATGAGGGTTGAACAGATATCGAGGTTCCCCCAAGATGCCAACTCTGTGAAAAAAATGATTGCTAGTTAATAAATGGTAAAGCCAAAGACTCATATTCACAATTGTGGATGTGACTTGTGGCTCTGGTTTCCACTGTATGTGTGCATGTCAAAGCTAACACACACATACACACATGCATGCACACACCTTTAAACACTATACCTGTTTTCATGACGCTATGGTGTCCTTGCCTCCCAATCCAAATCTCAGTCCATAGCAAGATTCTGTTCTGACTCTGCCCACATTTCCCCACAATGAGTTCCTATAGAAACCTTCAGCATTCAAGAGTCCATTCCTCACTCTTAAAGGCTACTATTTCGAGTCTAGCACAACTTTCTAGCAATTTTTTTCTAGCCCAGATGGGCATAAGTTGAGATGCTCTGGACAGGGGAGAGGCACAGTGGGTAAGCAGGGAAACAGGTGCTTTCTTCTGCTGCTAAAGAATCAGTGTCTGCAGCTCTGCCCCTCCCACACCCACCTAGGAGGCACCACTGAGGACTCTCTTGTCTCTCTCCTTGGGTCACTTACATTGGCATGGCCACAGACTCTAGACTTGCTATGTGGTTCTCCATATGGGGTGGGAGTTTGATGCCTGCCACATACTTTTTTTCAGCAATATGTTGAGCTTTTTCTCTGAGAGAGGGCAGCAGTGTGGACAAGACTGGGGAGCGCATATCCACAGCTTTTTTAATTGCTGGGCGTTTTGCCATCATTCTCCTGTGGGAGAAAAAGGTGACAGTCAGGTGACATCATCGTGCTTCCTACAAATATCCTTGAGTTTAGGAAAATCAAAGAGTCATACTTGAGATGGGTGCCATGGTGCAGGCCTGCAATCCTAGCTGCTTGAAAGGCTAAGGATTGTAAGCTTGAGGTCATCTGAGCAACATAATGAGACCTTAATCTCAACAACAGAGAAGAAAAAAGAATGAAAGGTCCTACCTGAATTGTACCAATGTCATGCGCTTCTTCACCCCTCCTGATTCTTCATCTTCACGTTTCCTTCGAGGAATGTTGAACATGTTGGTATGAAAGAGCCTTCCTACTTCTTCCTCAATCTCTGTCAAGTGTTGACGTCGGAAGACAATCCAAGCTACACGTGTACAGAAAGTATAAAAGGACTACGACAGCAAAAGAGAAGAATTACAATCCTCAGAGATGATGTGAAAAGCTCCCACTATCTCTACAATACTAAGTAGACACAAACGCAGATGACCCAATTGCTCACTATCCCCAGAAGCTGTGCAAAAATTACACATGTATTCATGTTTGCAGGACAGTCAGACCAAAATTCTAAGATGTAGCCTGCATTTTGTCAGAACCCTTTTTAGAAAGGATAGTCACTAAAAATAAGTGCCTAACAAATGGCCATTGACTATTACTGTATATCATGTTTTCATATCAAAAGAAAAGTCCCAAACATAAGTGACTTACCTCAAAGAATTTCCAGTCTTTCTGTGTGTCTGATATTTTTTCCCTGCAATATAAAAAATCATAATTATAGGTGGAGAATAAGTTCATCTTCCTCAAAAAATGTAAGATTCTGATCTGTGGCCCTATTATGGTCCCCTAGAGGCCACATGCTGAAGGCTTGGTTGTCAGCTGATGATGTTATTTAGAGATGATGGACACTTCAAGTAATATAGTGTAGTTGGAGGTAGTAGATCATTGGGGGTATGCCCTGGAAGGTAGATTTTTCCCCTGGTTTCTTCCCCTCTCTCTGTTTCCTGGCTTCCATGACATAAACAGCTATGTTCTACCATATCTTCCTACCCTCACGCTCTGTCTCACCACAGGCCCAGAAATATGCCACACCCTTTACACTGGCTATCATATTTAGCCCTTATAATACCCCATGTGTGGTCATCAACACTGTTATTTCTACTTTACACTTGAGGAAGCTGATATTGAGATTGAAACCCAAAGAAATATATGTAGTTAGCTCAGATCTTATTCCAACACTCAGCCCTGTAATGTATGTACCACTATCCTCAGAAGCAGAATACCAGGGAAGTACACTTTTCCTTTAGAATAGTTTTCATATAGCACTATTGGATAACAAGCTGGGCATGGCAGCACATGCCTATAATCCCAGCACTTGAGAAGCTGAGACAGGAGAATCATGAGTTTCAGGTCAGCCTGAATTGCATAGCCGATTCCAGGTCAGCCTAGCTACAATAGTAAGACATGATCTTTAAAAAAAAAAAAAATCAACAAAATTTGAACAACAGCCTAACAGAAATGTTTGGAGACAAGCTTCAACATGTCTAACCCATTCAAGGCCTCCACCTAAGCAATTTGTCCTTTCAAGACTTCTGCTGAAACCAAAGACCATAGCAATCTGCTAGGCTTAAACAGAAAAGAAAATACACACTGTTTTGATACTAAAAAGTCAGCTTGCCTTCTGGGCAAAACTCAGAGCAGAGCTTACATTAGGACAATCCAAAGAAGCCCAAAGCAAACTAATACAGCCTATATCACAGAAACAAACCACAGAATGCTGAGTGCAGGCTCTTCTTGCCATCCTGATTCAGCTGGGCGTGTGAGGCTGAAATGAGCCCAGGAAGCATTTATACAGCACGAGCAGGTTTAGGGACCTCACAGTTCAACTTTCCATAAACTCATCTTGTACTTTGATGTGAACTTCCTTCCTTCATTCCTTTTGTATTTTGTGATTTTATATTAAGTACATAAATTTTTTAATCAATTGATTATAAACTGAAATTTATTGACTATGCATTAAAATTTAAGCACCCAGAAATTCTCTGCAAACTTGCAAACTTGCTTTTTTTTTTGGTCTTTTTGAGACAGGGTCTCCCTGTAGCCCCAGCTGGCCTGGAACTCACTATGTAGACCAGGCTGGCTTCAAACTCACAGAGCTCCACTTACCTCTGCCTCCTGAGTGCTGGGACAAAAGGTGTACACTACCAGACCCAGCTTATTTGTTATTTTTTGAGGCAGAGTCTTGCTATGTTGCCCAGGATGGTCTCAAACTCCAGAGCTCTAGTGACCTTTCTAAAAGCCTCAGACTACTAAGTGCTAGAATTAAGGCATGCTCCACCATACCTGACCAAAACAAGATTTATAAACAACACAATCCAATAGAAACATGATGTAAACTGTAATCATAATTTAAACTTTTCTAGTAGCCATGATAAAAAGAGTTCATGTGAGACTCTGGATTAGAATTCCAGCACCACAACAAAAGAAAAAAAAACAAACAAACCAGGAGCTAGGTATGCAGGAGACAGAAGTTTAAAAAGATTGCTATAATTCATTTTCCTCCATCTCCTTTATTTAGTCATTTGACCTGTATGGAATTTGGCTTGTGAATGGTGGGGTAGTGAGCTCTAAGCTCTCCTTCTAAACTGCTGTCCAACAAGTGACAGAAAGACAGGTAGAGTTGAAGAGATGGTTCAGTGGTTAAGAGCAAGTACTGCTCTTGCAAAGGACCTGTTCCCAGCATCCACGTTGTGTAGCTCCCAACCATGGGCACCTGCACTCCCATACACGGACACACATAATTTTAAAATAAAAATTAAAAAAAGAAAAGACAGGTGAAACTCCCAACAGTGCCGAAGATCAGGGCCTTTCGGAAATAAGCCATGCTAACCAGAGGTAATTGCTGATTTTTAAACACAAGAGACTCCTCTAAAGTTCTGTAACAAAACTGTGTCTATACTATGTGTGTGGGTAAGTGTGCACATGGGTGGAGGTCAGAGGACAACTGTGTGGAATCTTTTCTCTTATACCTTTTTTTATTATTGTTTTTATTTTATGTGTATGAGTGTATTGCCTGAATGTTGTGAGTGCACCCGTGTCATGCAATGCCACAGAGGTTAGAAGAGGGCTTCGGATTCCCCTGGAACTCGAGTTAAGGACGGTTCACAGCCACTGTGTGGGTGCTGGGAATTGAACCCGGGTCCTCTGCAAGAGCAGTCAGTGCTCTTAACTGCTGAGCCATCTCTCCAGTGCCTCTCTTATACCTTTTTGTGGATTCCAGGGATCAAACTTAAGTCATCACGCTTGTGGGGCAAGTGCTTTACCCAATTAGCCCTAAAAACCATATTATGAAAAGCACAGATGGTGTACTCAGGAAACTTAAAAAAAGGGGGGGGGCGGATTTTTTAATTATGGTATAATTGTTTATGTTTTCTTAAATTCCCCAAATGTTTCCAATGTACCTGTCCTTTTCAATATTAAATATGTAAATGGGGATGGCAACATGACTCAGTCGGTAAAGGTGCTTGCTATATAAGCCTGGTGACTTGCGTTCTACCCCCAGAACTCATTAAAGGTGAAAGGAGAGAAATAACTCCACAAAGTGATCTTTGTTGAAACAGGGTCTCCCTGTAGCCCCAGCTGTCCTGGAACTCACTATGTAGACCAGGCTGGCCTTGAACTCACAGAGATCCACCTGCCTCTGCCTCGGAGTGCTGTGATTAAAGGCATGCGTGACCATGCCCAGCTCAAAATACATTTATTTTTTTAAGAGCAAGGTTTCGTTTTGTTTGTGGTAAAGGAACTGAAGCCAGGGCATTGCACATGCTGGAGAACTGTTCCACCACAACACTGCCAGCACAAAAGGGGGGTGACTTTGTTCTACTTTTTCCAACTTGAACTGACACTCTGAAGACAAATAAATTAGATGCAATGTTAAGATGAGTAAAGGTGATTTTATAAATAATTGAGTAGGGCACTGTAAAGCTGATTATAATTTTATCACGGTACTTTTCTTGAAAATTTTGTCAAGAAAAGACAAAATCTCTTGCTTGAAGGACCTCCTGGAGCTCTCTGTATTTAGGTTCCAAGAAAGCTCTTAGATGCTGAATTTTTTAAAAAATATTTTATTATTTTTATTTTATGTGTATGCATATATTACCTGCATGTACTTAAGTGCACCTGTGTCGGGCAATGCCCATGGAGGACAGAAGAGGCCATTGGATCCCCTGGAACTGGAGTTACAGACAGTTGTTAGCTGCCATGCGGGTGCTGGGATTCAAACCCAGGTCTTCTGTGAGAACAGTGTTCTTAACCGCTGAGCCATCTCTCCAGCCCAGATGCTGAATTTTTAATCTCCAGTTTTAACTATCTATCGATGCCCAGCATATCTACTGCTGTACCTCACCTGTTAAGACTGAAGCCAAGCATTCATGGATGTTTTCTTTTCTGACCTTGAGAACGTGGCAACTAGCAAGAGGTCCTTGGGGCAGCGCCTCTAATTTGTCCATTGTTTAATAATATCAGGAACTGTACTTGTCCAAACTAATTGGTGACAAGAATAGACAGATAAGATAATGTTCTTTGTTCTTGAGATTTGCAAAACAGAAAAGCATCTCAAGACTAAATGATTAGGATCAGATGTGCACCACCTAGCCCATATGTTATGAGAAGCCCCCACCTGTCTGGAAACACCCATCAACTACCTTCATAAACAAGTCCTAATCAGTTTCCCCAGAAAGATGGACTTTGGACAAGAGCCTTCCATACTGTTACTGAGCCAGTTTTTCAAATAACATTGCCTTCCTTGCCTCAACACCTTGTCTGTTGACGTAATTATTTCTTGTGTGATGAGTAGCCAGACTTAAGTCAACAGCACATGAGATCATTGCATTACTCTATACGTCTTCTTGTCCTTTGCAGCTGACCCTAAAGACCCTTGAGCATGGCTGCAGCTAAAGATATCTAGTGGTTGGGGCTAGAGAGATGGCTCAGCGGTTAACAACACTGGCTGTTCTTACAGAAGACCCGGGTTTGAATCCCAAGACCCACATAGCAGCTAACAACCGTCTGTAACTCCAGTTCCAGGGGATCCAATGGCCTCTTCTGTCCTCCACAGGCATTGCATGACACGGGTGCACTCACATACATGGAGGCATTACACTCGTACACATAAAATAAAAATGATAAAATATTTTAAAAAGAGATATCTAGTGGTTTCTATATTTAAATTAACAATACTATGAGGGACTAGATTTTAAATTTTCTTCCCCCCCTAAAATAAAACGGGAACTCAGTAATATACTCAAATGATCCTATAAATGAGTATGACTAAATTAAATCAGTAGCTGACAAGTAATGCCATCATGTAATAGATTGAAAAGGTTTATCAAAAGCCAATTGGCTTTTTGCTTTGTTTTTTTTCTCGGGTTTGTTTGTTTGTTTGTTTTTTTGTTTTGGATAGGGTCTCACTACGTACCCCAGGCTGGCCCTTGTACTTGTGGTCTTTCTGCTTCCTCCGCCTGAGTGCTGGAGTTACGGGCATGCACAACTATGTCTGGCCAAAGCATACATTCTTATGGAAACATAAGAAGGTGGTATAGAACAGATATAATGCAGTGGCTTTCAAACTTTGCCTGTAACCCACAGTAAGGAATGTATATACTAGTGAGTACTCAGTACACATGCACTGACAGCTATGGTCTGGATCTAGTTTGTCCCTGTCAAATATATGTTGAGATTTAATTTGCCAATGTGACAGGACGGAAATGTGGTGGGACCTTAAGAGGTAGGACAGAGTAGATGGTGACTGGATAATGACCATCTTCATAAAGGGATGAATGCTGGTATTATGGAGAGGTTGACTGGGTCTCACAGGAGTGCATTAGTAGCGATCACAGCAGGTTGTAAAAGAGTGAGCCTGGAGAGAGATGTAGCTGTACATGCCTGTAATCTCAGCACTTGGGAGGTAGAGGCAGGAAGATCATGAGTTCAAAAGTCATCCTCAGGTACATAACACACCTCAGTACATAGAAGGGTAGAAATCTAAGCCCAAATGAAAGACATAAAACATTTAGTAAGGGCTGGGTCATGACAAAAAAAAAATAAGTTGGGAAAAAAATAGAGTACCAAACTGTTAGCTGGCCGTGGTGGCGCATGCCTTCAATCCGAGCACTCGGGAGGCAGAGGCAGGTGGAACTCTGTGAGTTTGAGGCCAGCCTGGTCTACATAGTAGGTTCCAGGCCAGCTGGGGCTACAGGGACACCCTGTCTCAAAAACAAACAAACAAAAAAAGTACCAAACCGTTAAAAACAAAATATCACGACAAATCAGAGTGCCTCAGAAGAGAATGGGAAAATAGTAAAAATCATTTGCTTTTCGAAAACTCCAACATTAACTTTTAGAAATCACCCACACTCAATTTACTCTCTGTCCATTTATTTCCTTGTCCAAAGTAGCACCTGTTCTGCAGTAACTCCTAAATCTCCACCTTGTGTGTCATGTTTAAATATACACATTTTGACCTAGTAGCTCTGGTTCAAGGAATTTATCTTTAGAACAAACTAGAAATTTCTCTCAAGTAGCCAAGACTGCCAAGTACAGAATTCCCAAGGTGACAGGAGTTAACTCGCTGCCAGATGCCAGGCACCCCCTTTCCAGCCTGGCTCGCTTTGTCCCTCACTCTCCTGCCATGGGTCCTATTCTCAGTCTGTGTTTCCATGGTGCTAGCCAGCCACCTCCACCTAAACAGTGTTTTCTTTGTGCTAGGCATTGCCGTTCCTGCAACATGAGCACTCAATGTGTGTTAAACAAATCATAGCAAAACAAACTGCAGAGTTCTGTTTAAAACAGAAAAATTGATTGGTAAAATTCAATACAAACTTCCCAAATTGAATTAAAATATTAGAAGAATTCAACATCTAATAAATAAGAAATGTCTTAGAGAAAAAAAAGTCACTAATAAATACTATTGGAAAAATGGAATATTAGTAAAGAGAAAGCTCTTCAATTCAGAGCTCATCTGATGTATCATGATACATTTCAAATGGATCAAAGTCTAGCACTTTTGATCTGATTTTTTTAAAGTAAGAAAAGGGGGCTGGAGAAATGGCTCAGCAGTAAGGAGCACTTACTGCTCTTCCCAAGAATCTGAGTTTGATTTTTCAGCATCCAAGTTGGATGGCTCACAACAGCCTGTAACTCCAGCTCTAGGGAATTCAACACACTCTTCTGGCCTCCATGGGCATCTGTACACATGTGCATACTGAGTATATAAACACACACACACACACACACACACACACACACACACATAAAAATAAAATAAAAATCTTAAAAAGAGAAATTTTTTTTGGTCTTTTTGAGACAGGGTCTCCCTGTAGACCCAACTGACCTGGAACTCACTATTTAGACCAGGCTGGCCTTGAATTTACAGAGATATGCCTGCCTCTGCCTCCCAAGTGCTGGTATTAAAGGCATGTGCCACCACGCCCAGCAAGAGAAATATTTTTTAAATAAAGTAAAAATTAGGAAAGAAAGGTAGTTTAATACAGGAATGGCAAGAACTTGTGTGATTATGAAAGAGCATCAGAAACAAGTTGGACAAGTTCAAATAAATAAAATGTGAGTCATTTTCCAAAGGTATAGAAACAGAACAAAGCAACAAAAGAGAAGAACAAGTGACCAATGATCGCTGTGGGACATGATGAAAACTCGTGCAAAGTCCCATTTCTTTCTTGGCAAATCATTAAAATGAAATAAGTAGATATTCAGTCAGACAGAACATCTTTTTAACTTTATACATATCTTTAAGCTATCAAAAAATTTTTAAGTCATAAAAGCTAACACAACCAAATGCACTTATGACTGATGATAACAGAAAATATCTTAACTTGGGACCAGCAAGATAGCTCAGTCAAGCCTGCTGATCCAAGTCCAATCCCCAGGACCCACATGGTAGAAAGATAGACCTGATCAACTCCCACAAGTTGTCCTCTGACCTCCACAGTCATACCATAGCATGCACATGTCCATGCACATTACCAAGCGCATGGGCAAGCGCATGCATGTGCACAAACATACACATGCACACTAAATTAAAATGTAATTTTAAAAAATTAAAAACAATAAAGATGACTAGAGAGGTGGCTCAGCAGTTAAGAACACTTCTGGCTCTTCCAGAGGGCCCAGGGTTGGTTCCCAGCACCCACGTGGAAGCTCACAACTATTTGTAACTCCAGTTCCAGGGGATCCGATGCCCTTTTCTGGTCTCCATGGGCATTGCACACAGATATTAGCTGCCATGTTGGTGCTGGGAACTAAACCCAGGTTTTCTACAAGAACAACCAGCACTCTTAACCACTGAGCCATTTCTCCAGCTCACTTATTTGTGTGTTGCCCAGGCAGGTCTCCAAATGATCCACCCTCAGCCACCCAGGTGCTTCATAGTACAGGAATGTGCCACCATTACCACACCTGCCACTAACCTCAGCAGTATGTATCAAGAGAATTTAACCATGTCTGTGCCTTCTAGTTAAACACCTTCTGTGTAATAAGCCATAAGAAAATAGCCCAAAAGAACAAAATATTTTGAATAAATTTTCCAATGCAAAAATATCATAAAACAGGGGCTTGAGAGATGGCTCAGTGGTTAAGAGCACTGACTGCTCTTGCAGAAGACCTGGGTTCAATTCCCAGGACCCACATGGCGCTATAAACCATCCTTAACTCCAGTTCCAGGGGAATCCGAAACCCTCTTCTGACCTCTGAGGCATTGTACAACATGGGTGCAATCACTTACATGCAGGCAATACACTCATACACATAAAATAAAAATAATAAAATATTTTTAGAAATATCATAAAACAGGGCTGGAGGGATAGTGCAGCCATTAAAGGCTAAGGCTAACAACCAAAAATATCATAAAACAGAAAAACTGAAACCATACACACCTTCACAAAAGAATGGCTAATTAAATGGGTAGATTACACACAATGGAATAACTCTAGCTGTTGCTGAAATTATGTGCCATACACAGACTACTATAAGAAAGCACACAGAGGGGCTGGAGAGATGGTTCAACAATTAAGAGCACTAGCTATTCTTGCAGAGGACCTGGGTTCAATTTCCAGCACCCACATGGTGGCTAACAACCATTCATAATTCCAGTTCCAGAGAATCCCACACCCTCTTCTGGCCTCCATGGGCACTGCATGACACAGGTGCACTTACATGTATGCAGGCAAAACACATACACATAAAATAAAAAGAAATCAATCAAAAAAAATTTTAAAGACAGTATACAGAAAATATAGAACACAAAAAAGTTACAGGAACAACTAAGTATGCTCACTGACAAAACTATATTTGAAAGCATGGGGATATCATGTACTGGATTTTTTTCCTATGGCCAAGGTGTGGCTCTTGGGCCTGCTGTGAAACTACTTAGGATTCTGTGATCCCAAAGTTTCCTGTGCTGTAATACTCTTAAACTTTAACTACAGCATGTAGACATTGACATCCTGAGATAAACCTCATTTTCCCACAGACACCATCATCTTATTGCCCCCTCTCGGTAGTTGGTCCTCACAACTGCAGTTGCTGTTATATAAGAAGATGATGCATTCCCCCTATGACACTGACCTATCACTTGGCCTCCTCCCAAGGCAGCCAAGTAGACCAGTCCTACAGCAGGAATCCTTCCTGGCTAAGAACAAGATTCCATAGGGAGAAGTAATTTCATCCCAAGGAGAAGAAAGTTTTGAAATACCAGCTTCGACTCTGGAATGCCTTCCAAGCTCACTTGGTTCTCTCAAAGTAGGCATCATTAGTGCTTGGGACAGTCTCACTTGAGTCCCATTATTCTAGATGACAAAAGGGAATACTTTCTCAAGGGTACCAGAAGTAAGATTGGAGGGTGCTAGGGCTGTGACACCCTAATGTCGTTGGAAGTGCAGACTTACTTTCCACAGTTCATGTGATGCTTATCTGGCATGCCCACACCCAGCACAAGCATGCAGTACTTCTGTGCCAGGTACTTCTGTGCTGCTTCTAACTTGCTCAGAACCAACTCCATTTCTTTCTTCTCTACCAGGCCTCTGTGTGTGGGGGGGGAGGGTGGAGACAAGATGGATTAATCCTGGCATAAGTCTATATTAACTAGCAAGAAGTCAGAATTATAAACTATTTTAAAAGCAATACTAGTGAGTTATACTGGATAGCTTTAGTGTCAACTTGACGCACCTGGGTGGAGGGAGCCTCAATTGGGGAATTTCCTTCATTGGACTGGCTGGTGGCCATGTCTGTGGGGCATCTTCTTGATTGTTGTGTGACGTGGGAGGGCTCAGCCCACTGTGGGTGGTGCCACCCCTGGGCAGGTGGGCCTGTGTTGCCTAAGAAAGCAGGTTGAGCAGGAGCCAGGGGAGCAAGCCAGTAAGCAGCTTTCCTCCATGGCCTGTGCTCCAGCTCCTGCTTCCAGGTTCCTGCCCTGAGTTCCTACCTTGGGCTCCCTGATAAATTGTGACCCGGGAGATGTAATATGAAATAAACCCTTTCCTCCCCAAGTTGGTACTGGTCAGAGTATTTTGTCACAGCAATAGAGAAACAAACCAGAACATGAGTCAAGCTTACTTGATCTGTGGCATAGGAAAGTCTTCTAAGTCTCTTAATAGTTATTAATTACTGGAATCAGCATCTCAGGTTTATGGTAAATACAGATTCCTTAAACTTGATACCTTTTATGTATCCTCAGTTATATACACAGTAAATCCTAATTCCTACAGAACTCTCAAGTAACAAGTTACCTGTGCTAGTGGCCAAGGCAGCTGGCAACTCACACTCCTCTGTTTCCCAAAGCACTTGTAGAGACTTTGCTCAGCTTCTCCCATGGCCCTGGTGTTACTACTAAGTTTTGGGGTTCCATGTCTGAATGCAAGCTGCTCCCAGTTCTTTGTTCCACTGTTTGGTAGGGAGCCATTTGCTGGCTAATATTCTAGCTACTTAGACATCCAGTGTAATAACATCACTTCCCTATGAAAACACAGGCTCAGCTCTGATTGAATTGCAAAGGGACTTTGTAAAAGACACTCTGTCCTTAGGTTACAGTAGGTCTGCAGTCTCATAAGTTTTTGCAGTACAAGATAGTAAAAAACAATACTGTTCACAACACAGTCCAATGTGTGCTCCTAAAAACTTAAGTGTCACTGGAAAGCCAATGAAACACATTCTCAATAGTGATAGATCACTGGCCCTGCTGAAGTTAATCACTAGACTATTTGAAAACATGCTGTGACAGTGAGGGGTGAATTTAAGGATAACATGGATGTTTAAAAAGCACACAATGTTATCACAAGCTATGAAAGGCTTGTGAGCCCCTGGAGTAAAATGAGTTTCTGGAATAAACAAAGTGCTCTCCAACGTTAAGTGTGCAGATGTCACACCCCTCCACGTGTAGCCTGATGGCCATATGCCAAGGCCTGCCTCCTGCCTCCTTCAAATACCTTTCACCCTACTTTGCCAGAGTTGCCATTTACTAATCCTCTTTTTTTTTTCTTTTAACTGATCCTCTTCTTTTGCTACAGATATCCAAACAAATCAAACAGCCATCAAGAAATGCAAAGGAAGAAAAGCGGGGGGGGGGGGGGGGGGGGAGAGAAAGGAAGGATTGCATTGAAAGATTTTAGTCAATAGTTCTCAAGTTTTAGTAAATTACATCAGAAAAATCTCCTGGTTTACTTGTTAAAAGTACAGATTCCCAATGTGAAGCACTCTCCAAGATTCTGGAGCCCAGGAAAGTTAATCACTCCAACTGATTACAAGGCAGATGGTATTTGGGATACATTTAGAAATACGCATAAAGAACCTATGGTCAGAGAGATGCCTCAGTGGGGTAAAGATGCTTGTCATTAAGCCTGACAATCCAAGTTCAATCCCTGGGACCCACATAGTGGAAGGAGAGAACAGACTCCTGAAAATAAACAAATAAAATAGAACCTGTGTTGAAATGGAAAAAAGGAAAGACGCCATGAAAAAAGGCATAAACGGAAGGCAACCTCAAAACAAAATTCTAGGTAGAGCTGATCTGCCTATACCACAACCACGTTTGAAAAGCATCCCCTAGGCAGTTGCTGCGGTTTTCTTTCTGTAACATTGCCCTACATATGTTTATTTTGTTGTTGTTGTTGTTATTGGCTTTTAAAATAAATTTTATTTATTTTTATTTTATGTGTATGTATGTATTGCCTGCATGTAGGTAAGTGCACCCATGTTGTGCAATGCCCCCAGAGGTCAGAAGAGGCTGTCGGATCCCCTGGGACTGGAGTTACAGACAGTTGTTAGCTGCCATGTGGGTGCTGGGATTCGAACCTGGATCTTTTGCGAGAACAGCCAGTGTTCTTAACCACTGAGCCATCTCTCCAGTCCCTGTTGTTATTGTTGTTTGAGACAGGGTATTGTGTAGTCCAGGCTGGCCTTGAACTCACTATTTTGCTGAAGATGACCTTGAACTTCTGATCATCCTAACTCCATGTCCTGGTACTGAGATTATAGACATGCATCATCATACCTGGTTTATGCAGTGCTGGGTACAAAACCCAGGGTTTTTATACAGGGAAATTTTATGAATGAAAGATATTTATTGAACTGGGGGCGGTGATGACACACAACTATAATCGCAGCACTTTGGAGGTGGAGGCAGGAGGATCAGGCATTCAAGACCAGCCTCAGATACATCATGATTTCAAAAAAAACTTTTTTAAAAATTTCAATTCAGGGGATAGAAAGATGGCTCAGCAGTTAAGGGTACTGGCTGCAGTCAGACATGGTGGTGCATGCATTTAATCCCAGTACTTGAGAATTTGGGAGGCAGGCAGATTTTTGTGAGTTCGAGTCAGCCTGGTCTGCATAGCGAGGTCCAGGCCAGCTGGGGCTACAGGAAGAGAACTTGTCTTAAAAAGACCAAAAAAAAACAAACAAATAAATAAATAAATAAATAAAACAGTACTGACTGGGCTAACAATCATCAATAGCTCCAGTTCTAGAGGATCTGATGCCTTCTTCTGGCCTCCACAAACACTGCATGCATGTGGTGGACTTACATAAATGCAGGTAAAAATAAAATTTAAAATTCAATTCAAAAACTATTCGATATAATTATTTACCTATCATGAAGTGGGAAACTTTCAAAATAACTAAAATAGAGCAATGAAACAAATACCACTCTGACAGCCAGTAACTAAGGAATTGACATTAATTAGCTTTGTGTGACTGAAATAAATTATTTTCCTCTATGCAAATACCCTAATACAATCTATATTAAACTACAATCTGTATTAAACTCTATTATAATGAAGTAAACCAACTGACTAGTGGGTACTTGAAAATAAAAGGTTATCAATATTTTTCAGAATCCATAATTTTAAGACTTGGGCTGGTTTGTGTTCTAGTAAGTTTTAGTACATTTATAAATAGCCATAAGACCATTCTTTTCTGTTGAGCATAAATTAAAATATAAAACAAATGTCTTTGCCAGATTAGTAATAAGCATCAGAATTAGAAGAGATTATATAAAATATAATAAGGCAAAGTATTATCAAAATCTACTAAGTTCAGTTTGGGAAGAGCAAAGAATCCTCAAGCCTTCTAAGCCACAGCCTGCTTTAGCTTTTGATGCTCTGTGTTTGCTGTGAAATGTCACCCTGAAATAATACACTGTATAATAGGGTGGTGTTACAAGAGTGCCGGTGTCTGAAATATTTATCTGATTCTTTACAAAACTGCTATCCGGAAGCACCTATCTAGCCATAAAATGTTTCTCAAACTGCTTAATCACATTCAAGAGTTTTATTTTTTTTAAAGTATTCTGTATCAACAAGTTCATGGCTCTACCCAGCATTCCTGACAGCTAAATCATTGGGGAGGACAGCCTGGTCACTTGGAAAGTTCCATGGCTTGTGAAAGGTCACCAAGCCTGAGAGGCATTGTGCTCTGGACTCCAAGTTCCCAGATTCTTGCCCTGGTGCTCATCTCTGAGCTACCTCTGCCTAGAGCAATTAAGTTCTCAAAAAGACAGTCTAAGAAACCTTGTTTTTTTTCCTGTGATGTAGAATGTTATTTAGTGTGTTTTGTTATTAGATGCTTACAAACCTTGAAAAAATTATTTATTTTACGTGTATGAGTGCATTGCCTGCACGTGTTTAAGTGCAGCGATGTTGTGCAATGCCCACAGAGGTCAGAAGAGGGTGTTGAATTATCCTGGCACTGGAGTTATGGAAAGTTGTTAGCTGCCATATGGGTGCTGGGAATTAAATCCAGGTCTTCTGCAAGAGCAGCCAGTGCTCTTAACCACTAAGCCATCTCTCCAGCCCCCGTAAACACCTTTGAGCATAAACTTTGTCAACATGGAAACCAGAAAAGAAAGGTGGGAATAGTTTTTAATCCCAGCACTTTAATCCTAGCACTTGGGAGGCAGAGGCAGGCAGACTCTGAGAGATGGAGGCAAGCCCGGTCTACATGGTGAGTTCTAGGCCAGCTGGGCCTACAGGGAGACCCTGTCTCAAAAATAAATAGAAGGAGGGAGGGAAAGAGGGAGGGAGGGAGGAAGGGAGGGAGGGAAGAAGGGAAGAAAAGGTAGAGCATTACAGAGGAGGACACCTGATGTCGACCTCTGGCCTCCACATTCCCATGCATGGGTGAGCACACTCATGGATACACATGTACACACATACATATACCACACACAAAATTTTTAAAAAGGATTATTTAAAAATAATAACATCCTAGTATTGACTATATTATAATGGTAACATTTTTGAGTCACTGAGTTGAATAAAATAACTATTAAAATGAATTTTACCTGTATCTTTTTATACTTTTAAGATATAAAGTTTAGTAGAATAAATTATAAATATGGCTTTCATTATGTCTCATTATTGAACAGTGTTGATCTGCACTAGTTGGGATATTTTGTTAGGATTCCTATATGAATCGTTCAGTGAGCATTAAAAAATAAAAAGAGCAAATTCTCCCATGTACAATGTATTTGTACACCAGCAAGATTTAAAAGATGCCATTGTCTCTACCCTAGATAATAGTGCTGTTATAAAACTCTAAAGCGCATTATAAAGTCTTTACTTACACCATGTAGCTTTTGGGTTTCTTTTCCAGTGAGTTTTTTTCCAAGTAATAAGACAGATAGTACAACAATGCCATGAGGAGATTGTCAAGATTCTTATTTCTACAGGAAAATTTAAGGAAAAAGAAAAGAAAGGAATCAACTCCCTATTTCAAACATCAGGTTTCCCACAAAAAATAATGAGGCCACAGTGTAAGAATAAGTAGATATTTTTAGTAAATATGTGTTTTCAAGACTAGCATGTGACTAATTTACCATTGAAAATTCTACTCACTTTTGAAAATATAAATGTATATGATTTTGTAAAAAAAAAGTCATTTCTAGGAAATCAGACACTAAATTATTGCAGTTGTACTCACTAGTTATTTTTTCATTTTACAAGTTCTCATTAAATAAGCGATCTATTTCTATTGTTTATAAAATGAACAGGTTGGACGTGGTGGTTCACATCTGTGAGCTTAGCAGCAGAAAAGCAAATACAGGAGGCTCTCAACTTTTAGGACAGCCTGGGCTGCCACACATGACAGAAAACGTGTCCATAGCATGACCCTATCTCAAAAAACAAACAAAAGTAAACCATTCTCTTCTCACACTCTTTTGCCAACATCTGAGGCCCTAGTGGGGGGTTACTAGTAAGCGGTGCCATAAGGGACTCTAACAAGCTCTCTGACCCCTCGCCCTGGGACTTTGTCTGGAACACCTAGGACTTGGGGTTGCTGTGACCTCAGGCATCCTCTCCCAGATTCTCTAGTCTCAGGCTTTGAGACTGAGTCCTAGGAGGATGGCTTGCATTGAGGCAGCCTCTTCCTCTAATCAGGCCTATCATTTATTAGACAAAATCACTGCAAAAGAAGGGGGGTATCCATGATATCTCACCAGCATTACCTCATAAACGTTGTGAAGGAACATACCCGCTGCATTTCAGTATCTTGGAGTGAAAGCAAAGCAACAACTGAAAAAAAGAAGACAAACTGAGGAGGGAGAACACCACCAGAGAGGGGCACATCGGGTAAGGCATGTGAGGGGAAGTTACTCACACTTAACATCATCAAGAGTGACAGTCCCCTGCTGACATTGTTTCTCTAAGGCTTTCGCTGACTTTTCATCTCTTGAAGCAAGCCTTTTATCTGTCAACCTGTTTTGGAATACAATAGCCTCAGGTAGTATTTTAAAAGATTTTAATTCTATCTAATGTATCTTGAGGTGCACAAAGAATTTGCTATAAAGTCATAGGAGTCTGGCTCATGCATGACTTTCACTTAATGCAATATTATTTCAGAATGCACTTTGGTGAGTACTATGTTTCTTATGCTAGGGATAGAAGTGTGCACGCTGTCTGTAATTTAGTGACAGGATGTTTGTCTAGCAAGTGTGAGGTCCTGGTTTGATCCCCAGCACTGCAAATGAGTGAATGAATGAATGAATGAATAAATAAAATGAATGAAATTTAATTCTGGTATAGCTGCTATTTTCAGATTTTAAAAAACTGTAGGAAGTTTAAAATGTACTAATAGCCAAGTTATCATAGGAATGCTTTTCTAGGGACTATTTGCATCTCCCACAGTAATTCTGAGACAGTTACTGTTTTTTTCCTTGATGGACAGCTGCATTTCAATCTGCAAGGATGGGACTGGTATCTTATTGAGTTTGTAAGGACGAGTTAGTCACCAAGAGGTGCCATGATAAAAAGTTAAGCCACCTTTCTGAAGCCGGTCCATCAATTTCAGTGAAGTGAACTGCTTTGCCTTTCTTCCCTTTCTCCTTGAGTTCCACTGCAGGTGTGAAACTGCAACGGAAACAAGATCATTAAGAATTTGACCTTTTCCCAGCGAACCTATTATGACCTATTATGACCATAGCTCATGTAGACCTAGCACATATCAGAAGCACAGGTTGAAACTCCTCAGTCACAGCAGGGTTCAGCTCTCAGCTCATGATGTGTTTACACGCAGAACGATTACCAAGAGGAAGATTAGCACTTCAGCCTCACTCAGCTTCCAGAAAATCACAAGGCACTAAGCATTTCTACCCGAACATCTTGTAGCATTGTCACAAAAAGCAGGAAGCTCATAAATCTAGAGGAAGTCTTAAAAGTATCGCGTTCTTGTTACGGACCAGGGGCTTTTAGGCACAATCCTGTTTACTCTTCGTAGCAACTCTATGAGAAAAATATTATCATCACCACCATTTTCACATCTGAGAAGAATTGAAGCTTAGAGATTGTGTAATCTGACTGAGCTCACATAGCAACTGGACAGGCACCCATGTCTTCTAGCTACAGAGTCATATGCTTAGCCTCACAGTTCTCTCTTGTGCAACCATCTCAGAGTCCCTGCTATGAACCCTTCTGAAGGCTCTGCCACCTCCAGGAAGGTTTCAGTACCTTGACTTGGGGTTTCTTAACAGATTTACAAGAACTGTTAGAGAGCAGTGGATCTAACTAACAGACCATGATAAACAAAGATAAACTGAGGTCCAACTATGTGTTAGGAATTGCTATAACCCTGAACAGAAGATAGTATCTGAATTAAAATATAGACTCTCAGGATTATGATGCCAAATACATGGGTTTGGTGGTCCACTGTGGGTTATGATTTACTTTTCCGCCTTAGACAATGCTGCATTGATAACCCAATCAGAAACTTCACTTTTACCCAAAGTTACACTTAGATACAGTGATAGAAGCATTTTCTCACAATTTCAGTCATTCTTTAAAAATGGGTATCAATCATAATAGACTTTTATTACCACCTTATCAAATCCTACAAGGAAATTATTTTAGAGAAATACTTCCCTGTAGGAGTAATACAGTTAGTTTGGTACTTTCTTCTTCCAGGAAGTTTTGTCAACCTCCTGGCACTATTCATATTGTAATAATCCATTAGCTCCTAAAAGCAACCACATGATGGTACCTCAAGACAATGATTATTTACGGGGCATAGTGGCACACTTATAATCCCAGCACTTGGGAAGAAGAGGCAGGAGGAACGGGGTTCAAAGTCATCCTCAGCTACATATGGAGTTCAAAATCAACCTGGGCTACATGAGACTTAAAACGCACACACACAAACACACACACACACACACACACACACACACACACACACACAAAGGGGTGGGAATTATTTTTGTTTCCACCTTACTTTTCTTCAGACTATGGGCACCAAATTGGGCAATGGGTGACTTCTAAGCTTTTCATTCCTTTTAATCCTCTTATTGTTGTCCAAGGAGTAGGTTCATGGAAGACAGTGGGCTGAAATGTGGTAAAGGGGGCACAAGGGAAAAAAATGGAAGGATTACAAATGCTAATGGTGACTAATGTGGTGGCTTGAATGAGCAATGTCCCCCCCATAGGCTCATGTATTTGAACATTTAGTCCCTAGTTGGTTGTGTTGTTTAAGGAGGTTTTGGAGTCTTTAAGAGGTATCACTTCAGGGCTGGAAAGACAGCTCAGCGGTTAAGAGCAGTGACTGCTCTTGCAGAGGACCCAGGTTCAATTCCCAGCACCCACATGGCAGCTATGAACCATCCTTAACTCCAGTTCTAGGGGAATCCGAAGGCCTCTTCTGACCTCCGCAGCATTGCATGACATGGGTGCACTCACATACATTTAGGCAATATACTCATACACATAAAATAAAAATAATAAATATTTTTTAAAAAAGAGGTATCACCTTGCTGGAGGACATACATTACTAGGGGCAGGTTTTGACAGTTTATAGACTTGCCCCACTTCTAGTTTGCTCTGCTTCCTATGTGTGGATAGAGGTGTGATCCCTCAGCTTCCTACACCACAACTGCCACTTGCTGCCATGCTTCCCCAGCATGATGGACTCATCCCCCTGGAACCATAAGCCAAAATAAACTATCTTCTGTAAGTTGCTTTTGGTCATAGTTATTTTAATCATGGCAACAACAATAGCAAAAAAATAACAGATACAACTACCTACAAGGAAGATCAGGGATCAGATGGAGCAGAGAAAAATGAGACACTGATGAAGAGGTCTGTCTTCCACATCTGTATACTTCTGCATTATTTGATTTTTTTAAGGATGTATTCATTTATTACCTGAATAACTTAAAACAGGTTGATAGATATATAGGAGTAAATTTATATGGTTAGTACCTTTTGATGGATCATTTGGATTTCAACAAAATATTGAAACCCCTAAAAAATTCGGTATTCCAAAGGCTCTGACTGAATGTCTAATGTGTACCTCCATCCCTATTTGCCCCTGTCCTAACCATCTCAGTCATGAATGCGAAGTTGTTTCCTATTTGTCCTTGGACCTTCATCACATTCTGGACACTTAAAAGTCATTGGGTATGACTTTTCTACCATGAAAATGAAGCCTTAGGTTTTCCTCTTTATAAGTGAATGTCAATTGAAATTGTGTCTCCTACCATTTTCTCAGACCCATGCCTAAAAGTCAAAGTTTCTTACTATACCAGTCTTCCTGGGCTGTTTTGAAGCAAGAAAGCTTTGAAATAAGGACTTTAAAAGGAGAGATAGCTCAGTGCTGACTTCTCTTGCAGAGGACCCAGGTTTGATTTCCAGCACCCACATGATCACCAACAACCATTTGTAACTCCAGTTCCAGGGGATCTGACACCGTCTTCTGACCTCCTTAGGCATTACATAACACAGGTGTACCTCAGCACCATAAAAACAAAATGAGCTGGGCGTACTTGGTGGCACACACCTTTAATCCCAGCACTGGGAGGCAGAGGCAGGCAGATCTCTGTGAGTTTGAGGCCAGCCTGATCTACATAGTGAGTTCCAGAACAGCTGGGGCTACTGGGAGAACCTGTCTCAAAAAAACAGAAAAAGAAGAAAAAAACCCCAAAAAAACAAAACAACAAAAATACCCAAACCAAAACATGAACTTTGGGTTCTGGCTAATGTGAAGCTTGAGCCTTTGAATTATTTGACATTAAACTTAATACCCTTCTTTTTCTATTTTTCTATAATTTCACTATAAACTACATAAATGCCTTCATGTGAGCAACCTCAAACATGTCACAGATCTCACCCTTTTTTTTTCTTTGTTTTTTTTTAAGACAGGGTCTCCCTGTGGCTCCAGCTGACCTGGAACTTGCTATGTAGACCAGGCTGGCCTTGAACTCTCAGAGATCCACCTGCCTCTGTCCCCCAAGTGCTGGGATTAGACATGCACCACCATACCCAGTCTTTGATCCCATCTTTTTTAATTCTGTACTCATGATGGTGATTCCAGCTGCCCAATCACCTGAGAATCACCCCAAACACCTACTTCTTTCTCCCTTCGCATTCAGGTACTATTACCTATTGATTTTATCCAAACATCCTGCCAACATTTCTTAATCCTTTACCCACTGTATCTTTCTGACTCTGAACAACCCCCTTCCTGCCCTTTCAATTGTTCCCTTCCCTCTAGCATTCTTCCACTTGCATCCATTTGCTTAGCTGAATATACACAATAAGTATTTGTTAAACATACTCTTTTATAAGATTCTGAAGGTGGATCCAGGGACATAAAGTGGCTTCAGTAAGACATTTCCTTGAGAGGCTCAGGGGTTTAGTTGAGGAAGACAAGTGTGTATAGCCAAATAGTACTCATAGTATTCCTGGTTCACTCAGTTCTGCTACTTCCTGGCTGTGTGATTCTGTTTAATCTCCCTTGCTTTTTCATCTGCAAAATGAGGATATTAATGTTCACTTTCATAGCTGTTGTGAGGCAGACAAGCATAAGGGCGTAGTTTAGTAACCTGGGACTGTACTGGCTTATGTTGTGTACATGCTCGTCTCCTAATAATGCACTTGGCAGTCTAGTTCCTTTACTTGCACATACTGTACACATACACATCCCTCTCCAAACAATGCAGCTAGCAACCTCACATACCTACCAGCAGCAGGTTCCACTTATACTCCTCTCTGAACAAGATAAGATGGGATAAATGTCTCCTTCCCTGACAACAAAGACAGTTTGTATTCAAATGTATTCCCAATATATTTGGATATGAAGCACGAGAAGGACAATCCAGTTTGAATTAGTTTGGGATGCATGCACAGTAAGGCAAAAATTGTGTTCTTAAGTCAACTTTTAGGGAGAATCTCCTATTTCTCATCTTGTGGTTATGTATAATTGGGCATGCATATGGTTAAAATCAGATGCATTATGAGAAAGGACATGTACAGTATAAAAATAATTATCTTCCTTAATAACCTATCAATCAAGAGAGAGACCCACTTTTACTACCCCTTAGTAACCTAACTTCTCTTGAACTCCATAACAGGAAGGTCCAAACATTAATTGGGGCCCTTAAGTATCTTCATTAATGTCTCCCTAGCAGTGTATTCTGATCTTTTCTATTGCTTTGGTTTTGTTTTTAAAATTTTTTATTTATTATTTTAACTTTATGTGTATGAGTGTATTACCTGCATGTAAGTGCACCCATGTTGTGCAGTGCCCTCAGAGGTCAGAAGAGGGTGTCAGATCCCATGGAACTGGAGTTACAGTTGTTAGCTGCCACGTGGATGCTGGGACTCAAACCTGGGTTCTCTGTAAGAGCAGTCCGTGCTCTTAACTGCTGAGCCATCTCTCCAGGCCCCTATTGCTTTGTTTTAAATAAAGTTTTCTTGCTATTTTTACAAAACTGTGTGAATTCAATTAAAATTCCTTGAATAAGAAGCAAAGAACCTGAAGTACCCATTCCAGACCATGACCACAGGTAACATAAGGATTAGAAATCAATGCAGGTGTGGGCTGGGGATGTAGATGAAGGGCAGAGCATTGCTTAGCATGCCCAAGGCACTGAGTTCTATCTTCAGCACAACAAAGAATATGTTTTTACGTATGTGAATGTCTGGTACATAATAAGTGTACTATAATGCCTGGCTTAGCTATACACTTCTAATCAGCATTTCCCCAATGAAGATTAAAACTTGCTTTTTTCTAATCCAGCCATTTTAACCTTAAAAAATTCGCTGTCAATTGCAGGAAGTGTGATATAGTCTCATTGATTTAAACTGTACTTCTATAACTCAAAAGGCAATTTTACACAGTCATCAAAAACATAGACTTTGAGTCAAACATTGAAATCATCTGTTACCTCTGAGCTGTGCAAATGGGCCACATTATTAAACTTTCCTCAAATTTTGGCCCTTTAAAATCTCAACTCCTCAACTGTACACTAGATTAACATTCAGCAGTTTCAAGGAGTTGCTTAAACTGATTAGTAAAACAGCCAATACGTAGGAAGCAGCTGATCAGTGCTATCAGCAAGCATTGGCTGTTCTGCAAAATCATTACCTCCAGAGATTTAATTGGAATTTTTAAAAAATATTTTATTTTTATTTTATGTGTTTGAGTGTTAAACCTGCATGTATGTAAGTGCACCCTTGTCGTGCAATGCTGGGAGAGGTCAGAAGAGTGTTTTGGGTCCCCTGGAACTGGAGTCATAGATGGTTGTTATCCATCATATGGGTGCTGGGAACTGGACCCCATCCTCTGCAAGAGCAGCCAGAGCTCTTAACCACTGAGCCATCTCTCCAGTCCCTTAATTGGAATTTTATTTTTATAGTTTTCTGTATGGCTTGTTATTACTCCTAAGCACATGTTGTTATTGTTAAAATGTTAATAAAGTTTCGTTAAAATTTACCTTCTGAATTCAAGTGTTCTGGTTTCATCTTTCCAGTACCACATCCCTAACTGCAGTCCCCATTGCTGTAAAATGAAATAATTGCATGAAATATAACTAAAATTCACTTTACAATCCACATGTCCCAATCCTTTAATAATTTCTACTGTTTACTCTTTAATTTTATAAAAATGCAAAATCTTAGGTTTTTCTTTCTTTACCAGCCTTTACATATCATCCAGACTGTCCTTGAACTCTATGTAGCCCAGGATGACCCATGAACTTCTGATCCTCCTGCCCCCACTTCCCATTGCTGGGATTACATGCATCTCCACACCTGGTTTACCCCGTGAGGGGGCGGGGGATGAGGATGGACCCCAGGCTTGGGGTCACTCTATCAATACATCCTCAGCCAGGTTTTGATTTTTTGCTTGGTTTCATCTTTTTTGTTTTTAGGTGTGATTTTAGTGTGGAAAGGGAGGGAGAGAAAATAAAGTAGGAAGAAAAGCAGAAAAATAGGAAAGAGAGGAAGGAACGTACATAGCTCAAGGCTAGTTCATGCAGAGGAGGCCCAAGGCTACCGCACCCTTGAAGCTAAACCTTAGACTCCCATAAAAGCGCAGCCTGCTGTCAGGCCCTTCAGAGGCAGCGGTTGGAGGGAGCAGCCCACCAGCCTTTCCTCTCCTGGGTCCGACCACAACAGGACTGCGACTCAGCAGGAGGACTATTTCACAGCCTCTTACAAAGATGTTGAGTGGCTTTCCTAAATAGCTACAGATCTGAGTGGGGAGCCAGACCGAATCCAGGTCTGACCGTTTGCTGAACACACCTCTCTGTTCCCGGGTTTGGAGGCAAATGTGCCCAGCAGTTCTGGAGGACAGTAGGCACAGGACGAAGGCGACGACATGGGAGAGCCGAAGGCGGAGCAATGGACCAGGACCGCGAGCGACGCCCGGGCCTCGCCGCAGAGCTCCTCCCGCGCCTGCCACGGCCGCCCGCTGCACCGAGGGCCGGTCGCGGGCAGCTTGGCCCGCCTGCCCCGACCCCGAGAGTGAGGGCGACCCGGGCCGGACTCAGGTTCACCTGGGTAGACTGCCGGTTGAACTGCTTTCTCCTCGCGTAAAACTCGGGCACGAAGTGCAACGCCTCACTCCGAGCGGCGGACGGTCGCCAGGGATACGGCCTCCCAGCACCCCGGGCCGCTCCCCACCCCACAGCCTCGCGCTCCTGCTCAGTCAGCCGCACCCGCTCCACCCGCCGCTGCCCAGGACTCAACTCGTACTGCGTTCCAGCGTCGAAGCCATGTGATTGTGATGTTTTAATTGGAGTAACTAGGTACAGACGTACAGCAAAGACCTGTTTCCAAAGTGCCGTGGGCAGCACAACAATTGAATTGAAATGCAGGTTGGATCTAGGTTGATTTGAGTGGTAGTGCAGTGGAAGAGACAGAAACAGTTGTCGACACATTTCTCCTGCTTAACTAGTTGTGGAACTTGATTTGATCCTGCTTCTGAAATATCCAAATCAGAGCTCAAGGGGGTAAAGCATTAGCCTTACAAGTACTTAATAAGTACTCCAAAGTAGTGTTGCTCAAAACAAAGGCAAAAACAAAACCACAACTTGCTTAGTGTTGGGTATGCACTTCAAATTGGGCATCTTGGACTTCCTCTTTGCAGTTGAACTGATGATCTGTACATTTGGGCAATTTTTCCCCCTTCAGTATAAGCGATGCTAGATGATACAACATGGTTGGGAATGCCTAATGCCATCTGCTTTTGTAGCTGTCCGGTTTAATGCCTATGAAACACTCAGTAAATAGCAAGTAAACTTGAAAATAAACTTGGAAATTGTGCCACAGGCATGCCACTGTCTCCCAGTCTCCCAATCACCCGTTACTGTGGTATAAAATTGTAATCTCTAGATTACACTCACTAGAGTGTTCTACTAGCTGATCAGGTTGGTTGAAGGCATGGAAGCCCACCTGTACACCCCCAGTGCTGAGTTGAGGCTAGAGGACAAAGCTTGCTTACTTACATGACAATATCCCAAATGCCAAGAATTTGTTTACCAATCAGTATCTACCACTTGGAATTGGGTGAACAGGGAGAAAATAAGGCTCCAGAAACTCTTGAATACACCAAGGAATCTAGTCATCCACAATCGTCAGAGAGAATGTGATTAGTGTCTTCAACTGAGTGCTAATAGAAAACCAAAGATTTATAGACTTCAGCATATATAACCTCTATCTAATGTACAAAACTAAGATGAAAAGTTACTAAGAACTCAACACATTTAATATTTTATTTTTAATGTGTATGAGCTATTGCTTACATGTAAGTGCACCCCTGACATGCAATGCCTGTGGTGGTCAGAAGGCATCAAATCCCCTGCAACTGGAGTTTCTGATAGTTGTTAGCAGCCATGTGGGTGCTGGGAATCAAACCCGGGTCCCAGTGCTTTTAACCACTAAGCTATCTCTCCAGCCCAATAACTCAACACATTTAAAAGTGACATGAGGGGCTGGAGAGATGGCTCAGTGGTTAAGAGCACTGACTGCTCTTACAGAGGACCTGGGCTCCATTCCCAGCACCCACATGGCAGCCACGAACCGTCCTTAACTCCAGTTCCAGGGGCATCCGAAGCCTTCTTCTGACCTCCGCAGCATTGCACGACATGGGTACACTCACATACATACAGGCAATACACTCATACACATAAAAAAATTATAAAATATTTTTAAAGTGACATGAAGGGGGCTGGAGAGATGGCTCAGCTATTAAACTGTTCTTGCAGAAGACCCAGGTTTGAATTCTAGCACCCACATGACAGCTAACAACTGTCTATAACTCCAGTTCCAGGGGATCTGACAGCCTCTTCTGTCCTCCTCAGGCATTTCACAGTATGGTGCACCTACCTACATGCAGGCAATACACACATGCACATAAAACAAAAAAAAAATAAGTTATATTTTTTAAAGTGACATAAAGAGGCTTGGTGGTACATACCTACAATCCCAGCACTCAGGAGGTGAGATGGAGGCCAACATGGGCTACACAAAAAGACTCTAAAGAAATGTGCATAAGAAATTATTCCCAGGGCTGGAGAGATTGCTCAGAGGTTGGGACCATTGGCTGTTCCTGAGGGAGATCACAGGTTCAAAACCCAGCATCCACATAGCAACAAACTCCATGGGCACTGCATGACACAGGTGCACTTAACATACATGCAGGCATAACACTCAAATACATAAAAAATAAATTTTAAAAAGTTATTTCCACATGTATTAGAGGCACACAAAATTTACACAAGTTCAATAACTCTAAAGGGACTGTCTGACACTTTGTTACCCTTTACCCCAGCAAAATGATTATTTATATATACTGCTAAATTATTTCAATTAAAAATTTGTATTTTATGATGTTTTGCCTGCATGTAAGGGCACCCATGTCATGCAATGCCATGGAGGCCAGAAGAAGGCATCAGATCTCTTGGAACTGGAGTTACTGTGGTTGTTAGCTACCATGTGGGTGCTGGGAACTGAACCCCAGTCCTCTGGAAAAGCAAACAGTGCTCTTAACCACTGAGCTGTCTCTCCAGCCCCCACTATTTATTTTAAACTTTTCATTTTTTTTTAATTTTATGTGTATGGGTGTATTGCCTGCATGTAAGTGCACCCATGTTGTGCAATCCCCATGGAGGTCAAAAGAAGGCATCAGATTTCCTGGACTGGAGTCAGATGGCTGTTAGCCACCATATGGGTGCTGGGAACTGAATGAGGGTCTTCTTCAAGAGTAGCCAGTGCTCTTAAACCACCGCACCATCTCTCCAGCTCCCCATTATTTATTTTTAAAAGTAGTGCATTTCACTGCATGTTTTTCACCAATCAGGCTTGTTTTTTAAATATTAGAAAGACACAAATTGAAAATATACTTCTTTTAAAAAGTTCAGGCCCATAGTGGTTCACACCTTTAATCCCAGCACTCAAGAGGCAGAGGCAGACGGATCTCTGAGTTGGGAGTCCAGTCTGGTCTACATAGAGAGTTCCAGGCCAGCCTGGGATACATAGTAAGACACTGTCTCAAAAAACAAACACAAAAAATGTCCAGGCAGGGGGTTAGAGAGACAGCTCAATGGTTAAGAGTGATTGCTGCTTTTGCAGAGGACCTGGGTTCAGTTTCCAGCACCCATTTCAGGTGGCTCACAATCACCTGTAACCCCAGCTCCAGGGGATTTGACATCCTCTTCCTGCCTCCTCAGGACCTGCACTCTCATGCACATGCACCACAAAAATACACATCCTTAAACACAATTAAAAATAAGTATTTTTTTAAGTTATCCCAGCACTGGGAATGCTGGGGCAAGAAGACTGAGAATTCAAGTCCAGCTTGGGCTACATAGCAAGTTAAACTCTAAAGAATACTTGCAGTGCCAAATATTGAATAAACATTTGTGATAGCTTATTTTCCTAATAACTTCAATTTATAACAAATGTCCTCTACACTAAAAGCAGTGACGAGGGTGTATGGCTTCTTGATTTATTTCATTTCAAAGTGATCACCCTACTAAACTTCAAACTGTATTTTCAGAACTAAAATATTTCTATTCCAAGAGTCACACCAAGAATAAAGCTGAATTCTTTCTGAAGATCCGTTTTACTCAGGGATCAAATTCAATATATAATTTCTAATTTTGTAAGTAATTCAAAACAGTTTACTCATGCCTATTTATATATTAAACATGCAGAAGCAATTGCACAACTTATTCTTGTTTCTTAACACTAACATGTATATTCTTCTAGTAACTGTTTTGTGAAATATGGTTGTGGTTTTTTTAGTCTGTAATTTTTAATTTGTGTGTAGAAGTGTGCCACAGCATGTCTGTGGAATACCAAAGACAACATGTAGGACTTGATTCTCTCCTATCTGTGGGTCCTGGAGATGGAACTCAGGTCATCAGGCTTGGTGACAGCCGTCTTACCAGCCAGTGAGGTTTGTTTTTATTTATAATTTCTAGTATTCAAAAGCAAGTGGAGGGGGCTGGAGAGATGGTTCTGCTGTTAGAAGCACTGTCTGCTCTTACAGAGGACCCAGGTTGTTCTCAGCACTGACATGGTGGCATTCTTAACTCCAGTTCCAGGGGATCCAGCATCTTCTTCTGAACTCAGTGGGCATTGCATGACATGGATACATTTAACATACATGCAGACAATATACTCATACACATAATATATTAAAATATTTAAAGAAGCGGGGGATGGAGAGATGGTTAAGAGCATTGACTGCTCTTGCAGAGGACCTGGATTCTATTCCCAGCACCCACATGGCAGCTAAAAGCTGTCTGAAATTCCAGTTCCAGGGCATCCAACGCCTTCTTCTGAACTTCTCAGGCATTGCATGACACAGGTGCACTTACACACATGCAGACAATATATTCATAGACATAAAAAATAATAAAAAACATTTTTTTGTCTTCTTGAAGCAGGCTCTCCCTGTAGCCCCAGCTGTCCTGGAACTCACTATGTAGACCAGGCTGGCCTTGAACTCACAGAGATCTGCCTGCCTCTGCCTCCCAAGTGCTGGGACTACAGGCATGCGCCACCACACCAGGCTATAAAAAAACATTTTTAAAAGCAAGTAGAATATTCTTTAAAACACAACTTTAAAAAAATATATATGTATTTTTTATTTTATGTGTATGTGTGTATTGCCTGCATGTAGGTAAGTGCACCCGTGTCCTGCAATGCCCGCGGAAGACAGAAGAGGCTGTCGGATCCCCTGGAACTGGAGTTACAGACAGCTGTTAGCTGTCATGTGGATGCTGGGATTCGAACCCAGGTTTTCTGCAAGAACAGTGCTCTCAACTGCTGAGCCATCTCTCCAGCCCCGAAACACAACTTTAAATTACATTCAGTTTAAAATAGGAATGTCTTATTTGCCTGTTCACTTAGCTTAATGAGATCTTCTGATTTATCCAGATATTCAGTGTATTCCTGTTTAAGATTAAATAGAAGATCAATAATTAAAGGGCTGGGGATATAGCTCAGTTGGTAGAGCCCCTGCCTAGTATGCACAAAGTCCCTTGGGTAGATCCCCAGCACATTTGAAAAAAAAAAAGCCTGGAGAGATGGCTCAGCGGTTAAGAGCACTGACTACTCTTGCAGAGGACCCGGGTTCGATTCCCAGCACCCACATGGTGGCTACAGACCTTCCTTAACTCCAGTTCCTGGGGAATCTGAAGCCCTCTTCTGACATCCTTGGCATTGCTCGACATGGGTGCACTCACATACATGCAGGCAATAATACACTCATACACATAAAATAAAAATAATAATTTTTTTTTTAAAAAAAGACAAATATGGGGCTATGGGGCTGGCAAAACAGCTCAGTGAGTAAAGATGCTTGCCACCAAGCCCAATGACCTGAGTTTGATCCCTGGGACTCACATGGTGGAAGGAGAGAGCCAACTCCCACATGTTGTTCTGACTGTGTCTGTGCACTGTGGCATACATGCAAACACAAACACACACACACACACACACACACGCTAAAATGTAATTTAATGATCAATAATTATTCAAAGAAATTCTCATTGTCTCCATGACATAATGAATACCATGATGTATTAATATCCTATTTCTAAGATGTAAATAACATTAATATACCCTAATATACAAGTTTTAATGCCTTTTCATTACACATATAAAATGCTATAGGAAATTAAAGTGAGATTGTTTCAAAATGTCACATATCTCAATTATTTTGACAGACTGTCTAGATTTATCACCTCAAAACAGGGACTTGAGCTAGCATGGTGGCCCATGCCTTTAGTCCCAGCACTTGGAGGCAGAGGCAGGTGGATCTCTGTGAGACTGAAGCCAGCCTGGTCTACATGTGAGTTCCAGGCCAGCTAGGTCTACAGGAAGACCCTGTCTCAAAACAAAGCAAAACAAAAAAACAGGGACTATATTAGACAGATAAAAATGTGCCTGTTCCTGTTCCAAGAAATTTTTAAAAATCCCTTAGCATCCTACATATAAACATATTACATTTGCTTTAGTCGTGCCCACTAGTCCCTATTGTAACTGACCACTATGAAGTTCAAGTGATGTTAATTATCCCTTGAGCTGTAATTTAGCCCTTCCTAAGATCAAGTATTTTTTCCACTGTTACTTGATTATGCTGGCCTCAAATCTGGTAGGGAGTTCCCAGGACTTCTTGAGTTACCAGTCTCAATTGACTCTTGGAAACACTGAACAGCTACTTTAGTGGCTTTATCTTAGTAATATTCAAATCTAGATAAATTTGAGAAGATAATTAAAGGGCCACACAAGGATAGTTTTACAAATTACTTTTCAAAATAACAGAACATAAAGTCTCTAATACATTGAGGTTAGTGGACTAGCAAGTGGCAGGAGGCCAAGCCATCAGTGGTCATTTTGAGACTCTAGAAACAAAGCTCTTCTAAAGTTAAGGCCTAAAATGAGTCATACTAATACCAAATTGCACTTGTAGAAAGACCCATTATATCCAAAGTTAGAGCAGGGATATTTCCAAAGAGGGCTAGGGATGTTGAGTGATCAGCTAGCATGAACAAGTCCCCAAACTCAATTCCCCTACCCTAGTACTGGAAAATAAAAACCCAAACAACAATTTTGAACAAATAAAGGACTAGTAAAAGGCCAATATAATGGGTATTATCCTGGTTAAACTCATGTTAAAAGTCACTTCAAGCCAGGGATGGTAGCTCCTACCTGTAATTTGGGAGTTGGAAGCAGAAGTATCAGGAGTTCAAGGTCATCCTCAGTTATACAGCAAGCTCCAGGCCAGCCTGGTTAACATAAGACTCTTGTCTCAAAAAACAAGCAATAGAGGGCTGGAGAGATGGCTCAACAGTTAAGAACACTGGCTGCTCTTCCAGAGGACCCAGGTTCAGTTCCCAGCACCTACATGGTGGCTAACAACTGTTCCTAACCCCAGTTCCAGGGATCTGAAGCACTTCTCTGACGTCTGAACTCATGCAGTGCACTTATATACATGCAAGCAAAACACTTATACACATAAAAATTTAAAAACAGCAACAACAAAATCATTCTAAAGCTACTGTTTGTCTGATTCTGTTAGTACCAAAGTTTGTCAAATATTGGTATGATGCTGTCTGTAGTCTTACTTCATTAATTCCTTAATGCTTATTGCTAAAAAGATTCCATTAGTGTGACACCAGCACTGATCAATCTTGAGCTTTCAAAGTATGGAGTAATCTTTGAAATTTATATAAGTATTTTGAAGCAATTTCACAATTGCCTGGCCAGGCATAGTGATGCATACCTGTAGTCCTAGCACTTGGGAGACAGAGGCAGGTGGACAGGTGGATCTCTCTGAGTTCAGGGCCAGGCTGGTCTACATAGTGAGTTCCAGGCCAGCTGGGGCTACAGGGAGACTGTTTCAAAAAGACCAAAACAATAACAACAACAAAAAAACCCCACAGCACCTACCTATAATTCAATAGTATTTAATGAACATAAAGCAAATTTTTATCAATTAGATATTAAAATGTCTATGTGAGGTGAAAACTCTGCATTTTCACATCACTTGTTTCTAAGTCCCTCTTAAAGACACTTGTCAGTGTCAGTCTATTGAAAAATAAAAACTAAATCTTCTCCCAAATGTGAATTTTTTAAGTTTTAGCCCAGAATAACAAATCTTCAGAAATATTTCTATCTCTAATCAGATATATAGTTAGGTTGTATATATTTGGTACTCTGCCTTACAAAAACAGAAACAAAAAAACAAGCAAACAAACAAACCAGAAAACCCCACCTATAGAGGGCCAGGGAGATGGTTCAGCAGGTAAAGGCATTTGCCAAACCTGACAACCAGAGTTCAACTCCCAGGGACCCACATAGTAGATAGAACTGACTCTCACAAACTATCTTTCCCTAAATAAATGGAACAAAATTTTTAGACTACACAGTAGTGATTTGAGGCAGATATTGCAAAAACACTAGGACTTTCGAGTCAGAAAAATGAATCTTTCACTTTCCAGTTAATCACAACTGCTAGAAACATGTTCGTATAGAATTTGTTGTAAACTCAGAACAGCTGAGCTGTTTGCTTTATTAGAAAATTTAAAAGCAAACTTGACAAGATTTGGACTCAATATAAAATTTCTTTAAAGCTTGCCTGCTGGCACTTCTTTCAGGCATCTTTATGCCACAAAATGCATGTTTCTATAAGGCCTTTGGTTCCTATGACAAGATACTATCATTTGTACTTTCCTGCACTGTTCAGGAGGACTGTTTGGAACACTAAAGCCAGGGTTTAGGAGTCTGGAGTCAAAGACCCAATCAGGTTTCTGTACTAAATAAAGAAGTTTACCAAGATTCTTCTCCCCTTAAATTGTTGGTGATTTGAGGCAGGAACTTCATCTGCGAATAGGGAAGACTGAATTAGATAAACTTCCCACTGTACTAACATCCCAAAGATCCACACAAGTCAAACATGCGAAGGAAAGGAAATTGAAGACTCCAGACAGCGATTTTGAGATCAATTTTCAGCTTTACTTTCAATTTGCACTTATGTGTTTACAGAAATATACCTCTTTAAAATTACTGCAGTGTTTAATCTTGAAGTAGCACATAAAAATAAACAAGCTTCTCTATGTATCTTGTCACTCAGCTTCCCGAGGACAGGTGTGCAAACAGGCTTCCCATCTTGAGCAAATCTCTGTGGACAAACTAAGCTTAACCTAATAAAAGTGCTCAATCGGCAATCACTTAAAATGCAGTAAAGAGAAACCTCATCTTTCCCTCGAAATCAAACTTTAGAACTAACCTTTTATAACTAAACTAAGTTGTTGCACCTTTCCTTTCATAGTATGCACCAAGCTACACTTCCAACAGATCTTACTTGGCACATGGACATTTCAAAGAAGAAACCAAAACAGAAGGAAAAACAGAGAGAAAGGAAAAGAGGTTTCTGCGGGCTCCAGCGAGCGCAAGCTTAGTCCACCTCCTCAATGGTGGGTCCCCCGGAGGCTCCGGAACCGCCGCCGCCAGGACCGCCTTGGTAAAGTTTGCTGATGATGGGGTTGCACACTCTTTCGAGCTCTTTCTGCTTGTGTTCGTACTCATCTTTCTCCGCCATCTGGTTCCGGTCGAGCCAGTTGATCACCTCCTGACACTTGTCGAGGATCTTGTTTTTGTCCTGCTCGCTAATCTTGCCCCTCAGTTTCTCGTCTTCCATCGTCTGCTTGATGTTGTAGGTGTAGGACTCCACAGCGTTCTTGGCTGCGACGCGGTCGCGGTTCGCTTCGTCTTCCGACTTGTACCTCTCCGCCTCCTGCACCATCCGGTCGATGTCGTCCTTGCTCAGACGCCCCTTGTCGTTGGTGATGGTGATTTTGTTTTCCTTCCCGGTGCTCTTGTCTGCGGCGGTGACGTTGAGGATACCGTTGGCATCGATGTCGAAGGTGACCTCGATCTGGGGGACCCCGCGGGGGGCCGGGGGAATCCCGGTCAGGTCGAACTTGCCCAGTAGGTTATTGTCCTTAGTCATGGCCCGTTCACCCTCGTACACTTGCACCAACACGCTGCTCTGGTTGTCTGAGTAGGTGGTGAAGGTCTGCGTCTGCTTGGTGGGGATCGTGGTGTTCCTCTTGATGAGTGAAGTCATGACGCCGCCGGCCGTCTCGATGCCCAACGACAGGGGAGTCACGTCGAGTAATAGCAGGTCCTGAACGTTCTCTGACTTGTCACCGATGAGGATGGCCGCTTGCACTGCGGCGCCGTAGGCCACCGCCTCATCGGGGTTGATGCTCTTGTTCAGCTCCTTGCCGTTGAAGAAATCCTGCAGAAGCTTCTGGATCTTGGGGATGCGGGTGGAGCCGCCCACTAGCACGATCTCCTGGATCTGGCCCTTGTCCAGCTTGGCGTCGCGCAGCGCCTTCTCCACCGGCTCCAGGGTCCCTCGGAACAGGTCGGCGTTGAGCTCCTCGAAGCGGGCGCGGGTGATGGACGTGTAGAAGTCCACGCCCTCGTAGAGCGAGTCGATCTCGATGCTGGCCTGTGTGGCCGAGCTCAGGGTGCGCTTGGCGCGCTCGCAGGCCGTGCGCAAGCGGCGCACCGCACGCTTGTTGGGCCCAATGTCCTTCTTGTGCTTGCGCTTGAACTCCTCCGCCAGGTGGCTGACCATGCGGTTGTCGAAGTCTTCGCCACCCAGGTGGGTGTCGCCGGCCGTCGACTTCACCTCGAAGATGCCGTCCTCGATGGTCAGGACGGACACGTCGAAGGTGCCGCCACCCAGGTCGAAGATGAGCACGTTCTTCTCGCCACCCGCGCAGCCCTTCTTGTCCAGGCCGTAGGCTATGGCCGCCGCCGTGGGCTCGTTGATGATGCGCAGCACGTTGAGGCCCGTGATGGTGCCCGCGTCCTTGGTGGCCTGGCGCTGCGAGTCGTTGAAGTAGGCAGGGACTGTGATGACCGCGCTCTGCACCTTGCCGCCCAGGTAGGCTTCGGCGATTTCCTTCATCTTCGTGAGGACCATGGAGGAGATCTCCTCCGGGAAGAAGGTCTTCATCTCCCCTTTATATTCCACCTGCACTTTGGGCTTCCCACCCTCGCTCACCACTCGGAACGGCCAGTGCTTCATGTCAGACTGCACCGTGGCGTCCTCGAACTTCCGCCCGATCAGCCTCTTGGCGTCGAAGATGGTGTTCGTGGGGTTCATGGCCACTTGGTTCTTGGCCGCGTCGCCGATGAGGCGCTCGGTGTCGGTGAAGGCCACATAGCTGGGGGTGGTGCGGTTGCCCTGGTCGTTGGCGATGATCTCCACCTTGCCGTGCTGGAAGACCCCCACGCACGAGTAGGTGGTCCCCAGGTCGATGCCGATAGCTGGGCCGCGGGCGGACATCCTGACTGAAAGACAGAGCAACGTTTAGGACGAGAGAGCCGGCAAAGGCAACCCTCGGCCGCGACTAACGGTCGCCTCGCTCCACTCACCTAGAGTGCGACTAACGTCTCCCCGCTCCCTCCGCTCGGTTCCCGGCTCTTATAACAGCCTCCCGGCCTCGGGGAAACTCCCAGAGCCAATCCGCTCCTGGCACCGCCCTCACAAAACTCTTCCAGCGCCCGTACTGCCGGCTGGGACGGAGTGACCGGCGGGTGGTCCAACTGAGATCCCGTTTGGTGAGGGGAAGGATTCGGGCTCCGGGGGCGGAGACTGAGGGGCGGCTATTATGCAAATGAGGCTCCTCGTGCCTTCAGCCGCGGGGGAGCTGCGGGCTCGCGCCAGGCGTCGGCACTTTTTCTGCCCGCGTTTGCTTTTCCTAAAGCGTGATTCGTTGACGTCTGTCGGATTGGCAGGGCAGATGCTCAGTGAGCAGCAAGGAACCCTCAGCGGGGCGTGGGGAGGAAGGCCCGGGGCGTGGCGCGCGGAGGCGGTGCGGAAGGGGAGCTGGAATCCGGAACTAGCTAGTAGCGAAGGTTTGGGAGTGCGGTTCGGTGCCAGGTGTCTAGGCTGTCCGAGCTCGCCAGGGGAGAATTCGTCCTGTGTCGGCTGCACGGAATAAAGAACTGTGGGAACCGGGGAACCGGCTCTTCTCTTCCCCGCCTCTGCCCTTTCGCCCGCTGGACCGTAGCCTGGGAGTAGGCGCGGCGTGGGCGGTTCCCAGGGCGGGGACCGAAGTTAGGCCTCACGTGTTCCTTAGCGGCCGGGAGTGTGCGTGCTCGGGCGGCTGCGGCGAGGGGGGCCGCCCGGCAGGCTTTGCTGTCCCGGCTGCTGGGGCTCTGGCTCCCTCTCAGCTTTTCTCGCCGCTCTGAGTTCTTGGCAGCGCAGTGAAATGAGCCAGTGCCGCTCCCCGCGACTCTGGTCCCGGCACACGGGGTCCTGTTTGGGAGCTAGTCCTTGTATGACTGAGATTGCCTTTTCCCAAGAGAAAGCTGGGCAGGAAGCATCAACTTGGGAGAGAGGGTAGATGAAAAGGAGGGAGGTATGAGAATAGTGGGAAAGCCCCTGGCACCGGGGCATGGGCAGAAGCCGGCGCTTCCCCTGGCGGGAAGATGAGAACGGTTCTTCCTGGTAGCTTTGCCTAGTATGAGAGGAAAGGGAAAAATGAAACGGTTCGTCCTTAGGCCTTGGGTTGTATGATAAAAAAAAGTAAACATAATTTTAGAGAAGTGCTGGGCAGAGTAGGGACACACAGAGATTGAGGGGTAATGAGTGAGGGCGTCCAGGAGGAGGTGACATGCTTAAGTCTCAAAAGGGTTAAAAGCGTTCTTGACACAGGTTGAAGTGTTGGAGTGTGGGCAAAGATGAGAGCAATATTTGAGCTCTGAATTGAAGATTAGTGTCAAGGAGAACGGAAGGGGTACAGACAGTTCTCCACTGGTGAACAGGATATATTGAGCAGGGTTTTGTTTTTTGTTTTGAAATAGGTTCTTAATAATGTAGTTGTGACTGGCCTTGATCTCTCGTAGATCCTCCTGCCCCCCCCCCCTCCGTGCTGGGATTGGAAGCATGCACCAGCACATCTGGCATTGAGTAGGTTTTGTGTTCTTTTCTGAGGTTTCAAGAGGGGAGGACTGCCCATCGCAGCAGGCTGGGAAATCGTGTGAGAAAATTCTATAAAAACCAGTGAGTAGTTGAGATTCTTTTTTCGCAGGCTGGAGAGTTGGCTCAGCAGTAAAGAACACTGACTGTTCTTGCAGAGGACCCAGGTTCAAATCCCAGCACCCACAGGGCAGCCGGTAAGTCTAGTTCCAGGAGATCCGACAGCCTCGTCTGTCCTCCGGGGGCATTGCAGGACACGGGTGCACTTACCTACATGCAGGCAGTACACTCATACACAAAATTTTTTAAAAAAAATTTTTAAAGATTCTTTTATCCAGTCCTGTGTAATTTCCAGTTTGTAAAAACACATTTACTATCAATTTCTTCACCTCACTGATTAAATAGTACCGTTTTTTAAAACTACAATTCCCTATTTCCCATAAAAGAAATTAAAGAAAAAAAAAAACGAAATAGGAAAAGGATTAAGGAAAATATATTGGACCCGGCATAGTGGTGCATGCTTATATATACCCAGCACTTGGGGAGGCTGGGGCAGGAGGATCTTGAGTTCAATGTCAGCTGGGTTGCATAGGCAGATCCTCTGTGCAAAAGGGAAAAAAAAAGAAGGGAAGGAGGGAGGGAGGGAGGGAGGGAGAGAAGGGATGAAGAGGAAATTTTTTAGCTGGAAAGCAGTGTTCATTGTAGAACTGATAATGTGCTTGAGCAGTAGGGTCCCAGTTATAGCTGAGAAAGTGAGTTGAGTCACTCCTCACACACTTCAAGCAAAGCAAGACTGCAAGCAAACAGGCGGAAATCTCCCCGGTACAAACACTACACTTAAGCTTCAGAAGCAGAGATTCTTTTGTATAGTAACTTGTGTCCTGTCTCTCTGCAGTTACTGCAGACAAATCTTGCAGTCTGGCAACCACATCTTTAACAGTTCTCTGAAGTGACAACAGCAATTATACCTGTTCATTAGCTATACTTCCCTGTTCTGGTTCTTCACCTGGTAAATTGATGTTTATATGTTTCATACTGTAGATGGCATCTTGAGCTTGTCCCCTCAAAGATACAGTAGCTGCGTTTATATTTTATATGAGACTTCTTCAGCCATAGAACATTAGCACATACTAATTTTTTAAAAAACATTTTTAGTCTTTTCTCCCTGTAGCCCCAGCTGGCCTGGAACTTAGTAAGTAGACCAAGCTGGCCTTGATGTCACAGAAATCTGCCTGCCTCCCCCAAGAGCTGGGATTAAAGGCATGCACCATCACACCTGGCCTCACTTTGTTATCTTTTACATCTCCCTTGTTTGTATTATCTTTTAAAATCTTTTTTTCTTGGGACTGGAAAGATGGCTCAGCAGTTAAGAATACTGACTGTTCTTGCAGAAGACCAGTGTTTGAATCCCAGGACCCACATGGCAGCTAACAATTGTAACTCCAGTTCCAGGGGATCCAACAGCCTCTTCTGTCCTCCGTGGGCATTGGGCGACACTGGTGCACTTAACTTACATGCAGGCATAACACTCATACACATAAAAATATATTTAAAAAACTTTTTTTTATAATTATAGCTCAGAATTCATTAAAAACACAGTCCAAGTGGGTGTGATGGCACATACCTGTAATGCCATCAGTCAGTACTGAGAAGACAGGAGGATCGCCACAAGTTCAGGGGCAGCATGAGAACGTAGTGCGTTCTAGCCAACTTGGGCCACAGTATGAAACCTTGTCTCAATAAACCCCCAAATAAGTAAGTAAATTAAATAAATAAACCATAGTCAAATCAGCAAGTTTAGGACCAGATAATATTCACGCATGTCAACAGTGGTACAACAAAGCAGGTAAACTGAGACTGCCAACTGCTACAGCCTTTCTAGACTACTAAGACAATATTTTTGTCTTTACCTTTAGATACAACCATATCCTTCATCTAATATAACTTTGTAGGCTTTATCTTAAGGAGATAATAGAAAATGCAGGAATTATCATTTATGGTGCAACAGTAAGTGGAAAATGGCTTAAACATCCAACATGAAGAAAATGCTTTCATGATACATAAGTATTTTATGTAGTCATAAAAATTGTTTACAAGGTTGTGTGTGTGTGTGTGTGTGTGTGTGTGTGTGTGTGTGTGTGTGAGTATTTTGCCTGCATGGGTGCCAGAAGAGGATGCCAGATTCCCTGGAACTGGAGTTAGGGATGGTTGTTAGTTACCATGTGGGTGCTGGAACCAAACTGAGGTCCTCTGGAAGAGTAGCCAGTGCTCTTAACCACTGAACCATCTCTCTAGTTCCAGGATTACAAGATTTTTTTTAAATTATTTTAATTTTTTTTTTTTTTTTTGGTCTTTTTGAGACAGGGTCTCCTTTTACCCCCAACTGTCCGGGACCTCACTATGTAGACCAGGCTGGCCTTGAACTCACAGATTCCCCTGCCTCTGCCTCCCAAGTGCTGGGACTACAGGTGTGCGCCACCACACCCGGTTAATTATTTTAATTTTTTAAAAATTTTACATGTATGCCGGGTGTGGTGGTGCCTTTAATCCCAGCACTCAGCAGGCAGAGGCAGGCGGATCTCTGTGAGTTCAAGGCCAGCCTGCTCTACATAGTGAATTCCAGGACAGCTGGGGCTATAGGGAGACCGTCTCAAAAAAGACCAAAATAAATTAAAAAAATAAAAATTTTACATGTATGAGTATATTGCCTGCATGTATGTGAGTGCACCCATGTCGTACAATGCCCACAGAGGTCAGAAAAGGGCATTGGATCCCCTGGAAGTGGGAACCAAACCTGGATCCTCTGTAAGAACAGCCAGTGCTCTTAACCTCTGAGCCATCTCTCTGGCTCTGGTTTACAAGATTTTTAATGACAGGAAATTGTTCCTAATATAATTAAACGAAAAAGAAGATAACTTGATTTTTGTACTTTTATCCCCCATTTTTTTTGTTGTTGTTTTTGTTTTGAGACAGGGTCTCTCTGTAGCCCCAGCTGGCCTGAAACTCACTATGTAGGCCAGGCTGGCCTCCATCTCATGGAGATCTGCCTGCCTCTGCCTCTGGAGTGCTAGGATTAAAGGTACGCACCACCACACCAGCTTGTATCTTCTTTTTTGGAAAAAGTTTGTGTGTGTACATGCCCTCTGTCACTCTTCACTTAGTCCTTTGAGACAGGATCTCTTCTTGAACCTGAAGCTTGCATATTCTTGTCTAGATTGGAAGCCAGAAACCCCCAGAAATCCTCCTGTTTCTGACACTCCTTCAGAGCTGGGATTACAGGTGTGTGCAGGAAATGAGACTATTATATGGGTGCTGGGATCTGAAATTTGGTCATCATGATTTCGTCGTACCAAGCATTCTTACACTGACTTATCTTTCTGGCTCCAACTTTTGTATCTTCTTATCCTGTATGCATAATAATTCTCGCTATTATATACATATACATATATATATAATACCAAAATTTAGATGGCAGGATTATCAATAATTTTTGTTGTATTTTTACACTTTTTTTTTTTTTGAGATAGGGTCTCATGTAACCCAGGCTGGCCTCAGACTCACCGGGTAGCCAAGTATGACCTTGAACTCCTGATTCTCCTGCATCTACTTTTCACACACTAGGGTTATAGCATGTGCCAACAATGCCAGTGTGTTCCGGTTAAGAATCAAACCTAGGGCTTTGTACATGCTAGGCAAACACTGTCAATTGAGCTATGTCCTCAGCCCCTACAATTGAGTTTTAAAATGACAACATACAATTGAAACAATTGTCCTGTTACACATAAAGTAGTACTGGTTTCCACCCAATTATATATACTAGACTGTTTTGAAATATTCTTTAATCCAAAACCTAAATTTTTTAGGAGTGGCTTTTACAATATGGACAGAATCTGGACTAATGACTTTTACTTAACCTTGCACCAAAAAGCTACTGTTCATAATGTAAACAAGCTCACTGAGCCATGTGCTCTTGTGACTTGGGCATAAGACCTTAAGCCCTCAGGACCCCACTTTGCCCTCCACCCAAGATAGTGAATGAATGTGAGTGTGCTTGTTTATCATCAAAGTGCTAAAAATCTGTCTTGTTAGACCTGGTGGCTTACACCTATTATCCTAGAACTCAGCAGGCAGAGGCAAGGAGATCACCACAAGTTTAGGATAGCCTGGGCTATAGAACGAGGCCCTGTGTTGAAAACAAAATAAACCTTAGTCTTTAAGTTAAAATTAAACTGAAGATACAGAGTAAGATGGGGTGGGAACTGCCACACCTGCTATGAAAGGCTGAAAGAGCTGAACCTGAAGAGACTTCTTGAGAAGTGGCTCTGTGGAAATAGCAGGCAGATCTTGAATGTGAGTGCCAACCTTGGGCATACTCCCTGTGGAATAGTCTGAAAGAGTCTGGCAAAGGGAGGCTGACAGACAGACCTAACATGCCATTATTGTTAATACACACTAAATTCCTTACCTGAAAATAAGCAAAATGAATTATAGTGCCAAAGAAGTTATTTCTTTGAATAGCAAATTATGTTTGCTATTTTGAGAATGGAATTAAGCTAAACACTCATCAGTGGATTTTTATAAGTATTTTTGTTATAACTAAACCCAATTGTTTTCATCAGTGTTTACCATGAAACAGAATTATTCTATATTTAAAGAAATCAGGATTCGGCAATAAGAATTTTAGCTAATTCTCTTTGGGCCACACATGAATACTTCTAGTGTCATTTATTATTGTGACACTAGAAGTTAGGTGTTGGTTGGTAACTTATCCTACTGATTACTTTTTAAAAGAATCAGGTTGAAAATCAATGTAGCATAAATTAATATACAGACAGCTTAACTTCTGAATGTGGAGGAGGAAATTTTATTAGGTAAAAGCAGTGAATTTTAAATGAAACAAAAATACTGTATATAATCCAAAAATTCCATTTAAAATAATATACAGCAAATAATCACATTATAGCATGCATTTTGCCATATATAGTTATTGTAATTCATTACATTTGTAGTTAGTACAGTCAAAATTTAAGCCATTTTTCTTTAGTAAATCTAATTCAATAAAAACTTAAGTCAATAAAAAATTATTTGTTGAGTCATTTCTATCTTGATCTGGTACCTTTAATTATTGGGAGTATTTTTTCTACTTCCTATTTATTTTTAGAAGCCTTCAACTCTATGTGCTTTTAATGTTCCCCAAAGGGAACTGGTGGGTTTTAGTTTTATTGTTTTTATTTTTATTGTTTTTATTTTATTGTTTTTAAATACATTTTCTTTTGTTTGTATATATGTACACACATGTGTGCATGCGCACATGCAGGCGCCCAGGAAGCCATAGGCATTGGATTCCCTGAAGCTGGAGTTACAGGCAGTTGGGAGCCACCCAACATGGGTGCTGGGAATCAAACTCGGGGCTTCTGGAAGGGCAGAAAGTGTTCTTAAGTACTGAGCCATCTTTCCAGCCCCTCTGGTGGGTTTTTAGACTCTTAACACTTGTCTAGACTTTTCCTCTTAAAGCAGTTTTATATGTATTTGGAACATTTTGTCTGAGTGTCTTATGTAGCCCAGGCTGGCTTTGAATTCACTATGTAGCCAAGGCTGGCCTTGAACTGTTGATCCTCTTGCTTCCACCTCCCAAGTAGTGGAATTAAAAGCTTGTACCACTGTGCCTGGCTTCGACATTTGAACTCCTTGGTGGATTTCTCTTCTCTCTTTTCTGCCCTATCCTTGTCATCCCATTAAAATGGACTTTCTGCTTTTTTTTCAGTTAGTCTAGTTGTTAGAATATTCAATTTACTGTCCCACCTTAAATTTAGGGTTTTCAAGTGACTTATTAAGACAGATTTCTTTGTATAACTTCTAAGATATTTGAAAACCCGGCATAAAAACAAAGTAAGCATTTAAACATTCTGATATTGCACAAAAAACAAAGTAGTAATAAGAAATTAGATATACAGTTAACCAAAAGTAAAAATCAAAAAACAAGTATATTCACAACAAGGAAATAATATAAGATTAACATGGTTAAGAAGTGTATGTGTAATGAAGTGTTTGTAGCCATAGCCAGATTAAAACCTCACTAAACAATTTCTTCAGTTTTATTTCATTTAGTACTTAATTTCACTTTGAAATCTGAAGCTGAGAAACATGGTACTATACATTAGTTCTGAGAGTAAGCATTTAACTGAAATTTATTATATATTATTAAGTTGTATTACTAAGCTCAGAAGGAAATAACATGATTTGTAAAAATCTACCACTATTGGAATGCTACTCTGTTCGAGACTTCTAAAAAGAAACTTCACTTATATTCATAAGCAAGTATGTGACTGTTTATACAGTGATACTGCTCATTACAGTAATAACTAGATTATTTTGGCCTTGGAGTTCCTTTTCCTGTGCCCATGTGTGTGTGTGTGCATGCGTGTGTGCATGCATGAGGATGTCAATGCTCAGGTATTGTTCTCTGGTGCTCCCTGCATCGTTTTTGAGACAGGGTCTCTTACTGGCATGGAGCTCCCCAAGTAGGCTAGGCTGGCTGGCCAGCAAGCCCCAGGGTTCTGGCACCCAGTTGTTTTTTAAAATATGGATTCTGGGGATCAAACCCAGGTCCCCTTTTTGCAAGACAAGTACTTTACCAATGAGCTATCTCCAGTTTCGTTTTGTTAAGATAGGGTCTTAACTCTGTAGCTCTGGCTGACCTTGAACTCACTATGTAGACCAGGCTGGCCTTGAACTCAGAGACCTACCTGCCTCTGCATCTGAATGCTAGGATTAAAGGCATGTGCTACCATGCCCAGTTTGTACCCCTTCATTTTACTTACACTGTACAGATATTTTTAGTGTAATTCTTTTAAATTGCCTAACTACATTTCATAATATATAAGCTATAATTCTAGTTATTTTAAGTTTAGAATTATATGTGTTTATGGAAATGTGTAATTATCTCTCTTCATATTTACAACAGTAGCCTACCAAGCCTTTTATTTTAGAAGGGAGACTTGAAGATAAATGGCATGTGGAGTTTCAGTTTACCATAGCTTTAATCATTGATGTCATATGAATTTTACAGTTAACTTTTCTTTAGCAGATTTTCCATGAATACTATAAGAGTCACCATGAATCAGTTTTGTTACAACAAAGTGATTCCAAAGTGATCTTTATTGAGTTTTCTTGGATCTTTGCAACTGGAACTTTTGGGGTTGATGAAGTTTGTCAGGCAGACAGAAAAGATGGTGGCACTTCAGATCTGATATTCCTGGGTCTGCACTTAGATTATCTGCTGAAGATTGACTCTTCCCCATGGCCTCTCCAAATGCACATCTGTCACTTCTCCAGAAGTCTAGAAGGCCCTATTTCACCACTGCCACACAGAAAAAGACAAAACTCAAGAAAAATAATATTACAAGTCGACTGCTCTACAAGATACAACATCATTCTTGGGTCAGAACAGTTCAGCTTTTGGCACCAGCACAGTTAAAGAATAGAGAATAGGAACAAGAGAATAGCTCCTACAACAGAAATGGACTTACTTCTCAAATGGGACTCACTGTAACTTCCAAGTATGGAGTATTAATACAATTTTTTCAAATAAAGAGTACCTTTTATATTTTTTGTATGGTCTAAGCAAGAATGATTGGGCACATAAATATAGGAAGAGATATGACATCAGACAAATATGAGGTTTTCCTTCAAATAAAATAGCTTTATAGTGTTTGCTAATGGCAGATATCTGGCTGAAATATAGATGTGATAAATTTCAAAGCTCATGTTTTCAGTCTTTAGTCATCACACTAACACTGCTTTCTTCAGATGTTAGGTGTTGTATACTCCGAAAATGAAAGTCAAGGATGTACAGTGGAGGGGAGTGGGTAGCGGGGGATTCCTGGGTTAGCTTTTCTAACCTGCCCTAGTGATTTCAGGGTAGTTATATTTTTACAGCAATGCTTTGCCCTAATAATAATATTAATTTTTTAAAAAGTCTCTTAAAATGTTTTTCTCATATCTGGGAATATAAGCATTGGAAAGAAAAGGTGACTTTTATAATCTGGGTGCTTAGATTTTGTTTAATCAAAGGTGGAACTACAGCTGCTCATAGTGATGCATGCCTGCGATACCAGTACTTGGGAGGTAATGGTAGGAGGATGAAGAGCTGAAGGCAAGGCTCAGCTAAACACTGAGTTCAAAGCCAGCCTGGGCTACATGAGACCTGTCTCAAACCAAAACAAGACTGCTTTTTCAACTGGTTTAAGCAGAATAAAAACAGTATTTTCTTAAAATAAGGCTTAAGTGGGGCTTATAGGCTGTATACTTAACTCTAGTCCTTTCTCAAATAGGTAATTACATGGTACTATGCTTATTTTTGTACATCAAATTATTAACATTCCTGGTTCTGAAATGATGTGTCATTTTCCTTAGGCCCTAGCCTTTCCTATGACTTCACACTAAGCAGTGATGATTTGTACATTAACACATTCAAAGGAAACCAATATTGAACTGTAATCTTCACAACACCTTTTAGTTCTAAGGGCTTTCTGCCCCCTATGGATCTGTGTGGGCTAATTTGCCTCGATTTCGCTCTCCTGAATATATGGAAATAAGATTTAAACAATGCTAAATTCAACTATGTGTGTGCATATAAATGTTAGTAGAAACTGGTTCAAATTAGTATGAATTTACAAACTGTTATTGTCATTTGGTTAGTTTATACTTACCAGTTGTCAATGACAGATACATTACAACCCCCTTTTTGCCTTTGCCAAAATATAAACATACAAAGAGCTAAATTTTATCTGGTTTTATTGAGACTATACCATGTTTACCAAGCAAGATGTCCTTTTGAGTTTGAGAGAAAGCAGCAAACAGTGGGCCACTTAAATGATTATATGGGCACTGTTCACAGCTCTCCATTTCATTCTTTCCACTTGAAAAATATTTGACATATGGTAGCCAAATTATTACAGTAGTAGGGTTAGCATAAGAGCCTCGAGTCTGTTTTATAGGCATTAAATAATAGATATAAAGGTCCAAGTCATATTGGGAAAGATTGTTTCCCTGAAAACACTAAACAATTATTGTTTTAGGTGCTGCCAGATTAGGATAGTTAGGAAGCTGTCATTTCCTGAAGTTATCTTTTACTTCTTTGAATAAGACTGAATGAATAAGATTGTCTTTGAAGAGCTTACCTAGATATTTTCATAAACTGAATTACACATTGTTAGACTAACCAAACTTTTTGTTTTTTTGGTTTGTTTTTTTGAGACAGGGTCTCCCTCTAGCCCCAGCTGACCTGGAACTCACTATGTAGACCAGTCTGGCCTTGAACTCACTGAGATTTGTCCACCTCTGCCTCTCAAGTGCTGGGATTAAAGGCGTACCCCAACACGTCTGGACCAACCTTTATTTTTAAGGAAACAGATTCCTTTATTAATAAAGCAACTACAATATTGTAATGGGGGGATTTGTTTATCACCAAAGGAAATGCATTTCTTATCCACATCATTTATTAAGACAGAAGAGGAAACTGGTCATTCTGTCATCCTACTTTTGGGAGGAGGGGCATGACATTTGCTTTCAAATAATCTGATTTCTTCAACTCGGTCTTTTAACCAACGCAAGGAAATACACTGGTGAGATAAATTAAAACAAAGGACAGAAACAGAAGAAAAGGGAAGCCACAGACATAGAAATGTGGAATTTAATTCAAGCTAATTTTCAATTGACTATTGGCCTCCAAAATGACTGACAATCCCAATAAATATTTTAAGTTTAAATGAAGCAAAGTCAAAACATTCCTCAGCATTTCATTTATGTCTAAAACATTCTGAATGACCCAATCAGTTTTGTTTTCCACTCTCGTATTTTTGCCTCAGAATGTTTTATTAGGCACCAGTCACCTTACCAGTCAATACAGATGAACAAGAACACAGCTTCACAGGACCTTTATCACACTTGTCCTATACTGAAAAGGAACATCTTTGTAGGGGGAGCGTGTATCTTTGTGATTGAGTACAAGAATGTAGACTAAGTCAGAGATCTAGGTTTACATTCCAAGTCTAATATATAGTTTCTGTGTGATTTAGGAAAAATATTTAGTCTCTCTGAACCTAAGTCCTCCATCTGGAAAGTTACTATACTTACCTGAAAGGAGATAAAGATTAATTAAAATTACATGTGCAAAACATCTGAGTATAGAATGCTAATTAAATAGATGCCGGGATTACTGAGAGCCCTAGATGAGTGGATTATGGGTTTCCTATGGTCACTTCCTAGCACCCCACCCATTCTATCACACCCAGTTTACTGAACCTCAGCCATCAAGGATTCTGAGGGAAGGATTCTACAAAGATGCTCCCCTTGAGCTTTCTGCTGCTTTTCAATCCTAGTCCTTAATGTTAGGGTGCCTTCAGAGAACTGGTATTTAGCACTGGGAAGCATTTATTATACAGGAAAAGAGGATGGTGAACAAAGTTGAGGAACTGACCAAAACAGATAAATGGGGGGAGGGGACCTTTAACTTGTATTTTTTGATTTAGCAGCTTTTGACAAGGTCTCATGTAGCTGGCCTTGAACTTGCTATGTAGCCAAGGCTAGCTTTGAACTTCTGGTTCTCCAGCTTCAACTTCCAAAATGCTAGCATTACAAGTATGTGCCACCATATCCAGTCCTTAATTTTTTTAGGATATCCCTGTAGCCCCAGCAGGCCTAGAACTTGTTTTGTAGACCAGGCTGCCTCTGTCTCTAGAGGTTGGGATTAAAGGTGTGCCACCACACCTGGCTTCTGGCTCTTAAATCTTAACTAAGGCTAAAGCCCAATTCAAACTAGGTACATCAAATTTCTTGTCAGTTATGTACATATACATATTCAGGTCTTTTGATACTGGCTTAGCTTTTTGTTAATAACAGGCTTTAAGCTTAACTATTACAACTATCACACTGGTTTTTTGGAAGGTTTTTCAGAGACCTATTAATGGAACTTTCTTACTGATACAGAGGAATGAGTATTACTTAACCAGTGAGAAACTTGTCAACCAATACTATCAACCAGCTCTCTTTAAAATATAAAAGGGCCTATCCTTGGCATGTTAATAACCACTATCCCATTGGACATTCCACAATTAGAGCTGAATTTGCCTAACCAAATGATGTGAACTCATCTCACCTATTAGTTCCATGTATTAGTTTAAATTCAATTTTTGCATCTTGCTCCTATTTTTGTCTTAAACTGCAGCAAAAGTTTTTCGGGGCCTACTGTTCTTCCTTTTAATGTTCTCATTATTAGCATTTTTCACTTGAGACAGGGTTTCACCATGTAAACCACCAGGGTATGCTTGAATTCCCTCAACCTCCTGAGTGTGAGGATTACAAGCATAAACCACCACACTCTTCTAAATTTTTAAAAAATTATTTTATGTGTATGCATGTATTGCCTGCATGTAGGTAAGTGCACTGGTGTTGTGCAATGCCTGCGGAGGACAGAAGAGACTTTCAGATTCCCTGGAACTGGAGTTAGGACAGTTGTTAGCTGCCATGTGGGTGCTGGGATTCGAACCAGGGTCTTCTGCAAGAACCACCAGTGTTCTTAACCACTGAGCCATCTCTCCAGCCCTCATCTAAATTCTTTTAAGATTCCCCCCTGGAATACAAATTTTCACTCATAGTCAAACTGTTAATTACTTTGTAGTAATTAAACATTTGCCACAAAGCAAGTTACTCATGTGGGTCATTCCTCTGAATAGTTTCACTTTAAAGATTGGGGAAATGGGGCTGGAGAGATGGCTCAGCAGTTAAAAGCACTGACTGCTCTGGCAGAGGACCTGGATTTGATTCCCAGTACCCACATGGCAATTATGAACAGCCCTTAACTCCAGTTCCAGGGGAATCCAACACCCTCTTCTGACCTCTGCAGCATTGCATGACACAGGTGCACTCATATACATGCAGGCAACACACTCATATACATAAAATTAGTATTTTTTTTTTAATTTGGGAAATTAGCTGGGCATGGTGGTGTAATTCTAGCACTCTTGCTGTTTGGAATAAAAGTGAAGACCTGGTACATAGCTCAGGGGTAGAGCTTGCCTAGCAGGTCAAGGCTCTCCTCAAGGATTTGACCTGGAACACCAGAGGGGGAAAAAAAAATCCAATTTGTTTAAGAAATTCCAAGATAGGTTGTACCTAGGATAAAGGACCCTTCAAAATAAAATGGTGACACTCTTACAAGACAGGGACAACATTCTACTCTTAGTTTTCTTTTTCTCCAGATTTAAAATCTGGGGCCTAAATTCATGACTTATAAAGGTAAATTCCAGTCTTGATTCATTGTCTTCACAGCCCAAGAGAACAGCAGCAAAGGAGGCAGAACTTTCCAGCCCTAGCCCAGGGAGGGAAGGAGAGGAAACAGGTGGAATAAGATGGTGGATTCTCTTTATTCTCCCTAATTTAAAAGCTAAGTAAGCCTTGTTACCTGAACTCTGCCTTGTTAAAGAAATATACATCCCACTTGGAGAAGTCTGTGCTACCCTGTAGCTAATTCCTGATCAAAAACATGTATACAGTGTATTATGAAATGGGGAGGAAACATCAGGAAGTGTGGCTTTGTGGAACTATCAATGTCACAGTCATGTAAAATTAAGAGATTTATACATTTGCTTGCTGTTAGCATGTGTCAAAACACTGTATTGAATCTCTTTTCTTAATGAAATGGGGGATTTTTTTCTTCAAAGCAATATTTGGAAAATGCCTTTCTTTAATGGTTGGAAAGCCATTGCAACAGAAATTTTGATAGGGAAAAGTGATCCCACAGAAACTTATGTCCCCTAGATATTATATAGTTTGGTAGCATCACTTGAGTTTGCCCTCTCTTTACACTACTTTGATGGTGCCTAACATCTGCTTATTCAAGTTCTTAGCAGTAATCTACATATACATCCTATACTTCATTTTCAGTTGAATTTCAGACTTAAGTACATGTTAAAACTATTGTATCTAAAACTAAGATGAATACGTTTCCAACTTTCTCTGTTAACTGTGTGGCCTTGAATAAAATTCCCAATTTCTCATTTAGTTTTCTGTGCCTCTTCTCGTTTTAATTCTGTCCTGGCTCCCGTGCCATTTCTGTCCTCGCTAACATTTCAACACATCCCCAACAAATCTCTGCACTCATGTGCACTCTGATACCTTCAACTAAATCTGTACTAGCCAACATGTCTCTCATTTCTCTTGGGAGCTTGTCCTTTTATGCAAATAGCATACAAAAATATGATTTGTATATTTTAAAAAATATGTGAACAAAAAGAGCAGTTTTTAAAATTACTGTTCATCATTCTTTTAAATATAGGAGTTAAAGCTGGGCATGGTGGTGCATGCCTCCCAGCACTTGGGAGGCAGAGGCAGGCAGATCTCTGTGTGTTCAAGGCCAGCCTGGTCTACATAGTGAGTTCCAGGACAGCTGGAGCTACAGGGAGACCCTGTCTCAAAAAGACAAAA